TGCTCCAGGAGGGTCGGAATCCCATCGGCCCCGCTACCTGGCAGCTGCCTGCGTCGGGCGATGGCAGGTACGATGCATGGGCATTTGATGTTGACAAGCTCACTGGGGTGCGTAGTCTCGACGTCCCGTCGTCTTTCCTGAGGGAGTTCGATACAACGGTCATGGATCGGCTCTGGCGCGAGGCAGCCCATCGCCTCGACGGCGACGGCATGCAGAACGGAGTGTGCAACTTGTCGCATCGTGCCTTGCTACAGCAACTCAGGGACGGGCCGCGGGGCGCCAAGCTGGCAGGTTTGCTTCTGGCGGCGGCGGCGGGCGCGGCCTGGCGGCGCGCCCGACGCTCCGAGAAGGCGAAGCAGAGGCTGTCGCAGTTCTGCGCACGCTGTGGAGACGTTCCCGAGGACAGCTATCACAGTTGCTGGGGGCAGTGCGTGGGGCGGCAGCCTCACCCTATCTACGAGATGACGGACGAGTTGCTCATCAAAGCTCAGGCTCAGCACGAGTCAGAGCCATGCTTTTGGCCGCGGGGGCTCATCCTTGCCGACTGGGCACGGGTCAAGCCGCCGCAGCAGAGCGAGGAGTGGCACGTCTACGGCTGCAATGGTTTCGAGCAGGGGGCCCTGGGCCACGGCAGCGAGGAGAGCCCCCTCTTCATCTTCGGGGACGCGAGCGGGGGCAAGGACACGCACGACCCCCGCTTGAGGCGGGTGGGGGTCGGCCTGGCAGCCTTCGCGGAGCTCGCTGAGCCTATGCAGATCGCTGCAGCGGTATGTGGTGGTTTGCCTGGCGGCCGCCAGACGGTCGGACGGGGGGGGGGGATATATGCCCTCTACACGGCTATCCGCGGCGCGGACGGGCATATAAATTATGTGACAGATAATGCGAACGTGTGTGAAGGTTGGCACGCAGGCAAAGTACATTATCCCGAGGGCGAGGGCGGTGATTTGTGGAGTGCCATAGGTCAGCAGTTGCGCGCGCGCCCGTCGTTGCAGGCGTGTGTGTTACGTTCGTGTTTTCCCATCGGGATGATAAGGATATAGTTGCAGGCCGTTCCCCACCATTGTACGTAGTCGGTAATACCATTGCCGATGAATTCGCTGGTGAGGGGGCCGAGGTCTGTAGAGTCCCCGAGCGCGAGAGGGCCCGAGTGGCTCATGTAGAGTATCAAGCATATTTAGTTCGCATGCGGATCCTGATCAGCACTCTTCAGACCCTTGAGGCTGAGCAGAACCTTCCCCTTAAGGAGCCTCAGCGGGCCCGCGTTAGGCACCCTGGACCCAGGCCCCCTGCTCCGAGGGTTTGCTCATCGTTTTCCACGCAGCACGTGCTTTCGGAAAAAGGTAATTCATGTTTGCAGTGTAAAGGCTCCTCTTCCCAGGCTGCTCGTCGAACCTGGCTGGATTCGCCGTGTTTTACTTTGCGGTCGGTCGATGGCGTTGTATATGATCTCCCCCATGGGCGTCGAGTGCATATATGTGGGGGATGGGCTCATAGCAGTCATCAACTGAAGTTTCACTCTGGGCTGGGAGTTTGGTTCTGTGGTAGGTGTGGCAGTTTCGCAGCTCAGCAGATTGCGAAGTTCGGAGGTGTGTGCCTCGGACCTGCCACGGGTAACCGAGCTGATTACTTAAGGAACATCTCTGCAGGCAAGTGGCCCAAGGCCTACAGCTCCTCCGAGAAGGCGCGGAGGGCCAGTGCCAAGTTGGGGTTTTAATCTCAGTCAGTCAGTAACCGACACGGTCGCAATATCCGTAACTCCGTAACTCCTCCTCTTCCGCCTCCTCCTGCTCCTCCTCCTCCCTCGTACTGCTCCTCCACCTTTTCCTCCTCCTCCTCCTCCCTCGTCCTCTTCCTTCTCCCCATCCTTCCTCGTCCTCCTTTTCCTCCTCCTCCGCCTCCTCCTCCTCCTCCTCTTTCCCCTCCTCCTCCTCCCTCCTCCTCCTCTCCTCCTCCTCCTCCTCCTCCTCTCCTCCCCTCCCTCCTCCTCCATCCTCCTCCTCCACCCCTCCTCCTCCTCTCCTCCTTCCTCGTCCTCCTCCTTCAAACCTCCTCGTCCCTCCTCCTCGGTCCTCCTCCTCCTCCTCCTCCTCCTCCTCCTCCTTCTCCTCCTCCTCCTCCTCCTCCTCCTCCTCCTCCTCCTCTTCCTCGGGGCGCGCGGTGTCCCCGTGTCGTGGCGCAAACGTCGCAGAGCGGATTTCGCTCGGAAGACAGTGGGATGGGCCCCGGGGGATGCCCTTGAGAAGTGCGTTCTGGATTTCGGAGAGAGTTTCGTGCGGACGTTTCTCTTGGCCAGGAGGGAAGGCTACAAGACACCCGCGTGAAATTCAGTGCGGTTTTCGCTCGCCGTTTCGGGGTTTTGCACTCCACGCAAACATCTGCTGCAGCACGTCGGCATCGACGAGCCGACAGACCGCAGCCGCGCAGTTTCTCGGAGCTTCGCGCGGGTGTCTCGGGTCGGCGCCGGTGCCCCTCTTTGTCGGCGCCTCCAGCGCCGCCCCTGGCCCGCTCCGCGCGCCAGGCAGGGAGGGGCCCAGCGCCGATCCGAGACACCCGCACGCACCTCTGAGGTGCCATGCTGGTGCTTTGTGGGCCCCGGAAACGGCAGGGTCGTTTTTTCACCGTTTCCTAAAAAATGTCCCTTGAAAATGGAAACGGCAAAAAAACGGGGACCAGAAACGGCAAAAAAACGGTTCCAGGATTGGAACCGGAGCCGGAACCGGTCAAAAAACGGCGACGGAATCGGTAAAAAAACGGCGTCGGAACCGGCGAAAAACGGCAAAACGGAACCGGTGAAAAAACGGCCCTGTCGTTTCCAGGGCCCACTAAGCTTCCCCTGGCCTTCCGATTCACGTTTTTTAGGTGATCTACTAATGTTTTAGGAAGTCGGCCTTAACTACTATATTGAAAAACAAGTTTTGCACAATAGTGGATCCAGTGTATAATTATACGTATACGTACACGTATAATTATGTGTATATGTGTATGAAGAAAGTGTTGGTTTCACAGAGGCTAGATCAGACACTTAAACACATCAAAGAAAAAATAATATTTTAACTTGCGTGAGGTCTGGTCGGTGAGCTCGGTTAGATGCCGCGCACCTTGTGCCCCCAATATGGGGTGGGCGGCTATTTGCATGGGGGCCACGCACCTTGTGCCCCCAAGATGGGGTGGACGGCTATTTGCATGGGGCATAATCATCTGATAAACTGGTGGCTCGCGAAAGCGAGTGTCGGACAATTGCGCATGCAAGGTACATCAGATACGAGAGACATCATGCTATGATATGTCGTGCTATGTTATGTCGTCGTTATCCTCACCCCCCTCCTCCTCCTTCTCCTGGTTCCGTGGTCTTTCTCGCTCATCTCATGGGGTGGCCCCCCACCTCACCCCCTCCATCCTCCAACATGTGTGCAATTGCCCCCAAAACGTAACGGTAAACACATACAAACAAAACAAACGACACATGAACAAAACCAGGGGTCGATGCGGAAATGCTCTGACACTTCCACAGCAATTTTGGTTATGGCCGAGGGTTTTCCTTGGCGCGGGCCGCATGGCCAGCCCCGATATTTGTTGTTTGTGCAGCGACACCGCCAGCGGACCACACTCCGATGAAGTTGTATGGGCGTGCGGCCACAAAGTGCACATGAACTGTTTTGGATCTTGGGTGCATTCAACGTGGCCAAAACTACATCGGCCAGCTTTTACCATGTCCTGGATTACCATGCGCCCTTTGCAGAGAACCTTGGCATGGCGACGTGGTTATAGATGCTAAGTTGAGGATCGCTCGGAAAACGTTTCAAGATGTCGTTGACCACGTGGCTGATCAAAAAATGGTACCTCCTCCGCCGCCGCCTGCATCTCCTGCTGAATGGATTGTGCCGTTGTGTTGCCCTAGGTTGCTTGCCACAGGCGACGGCGTCGGTGAACCCACCTTCATGGAGATCGAGGGCGACCGACGCATGGCATGGATGGGAGGAGTGGAAACGAGTGCTTGCGATGTGGTTCGAAGGTGTCAAACAGCATGCCAGAGTTCAACTACTTGCGGGCATTACCTCCCAGGTCATGGCGGCGAGTATGAGTGCGTGCGTGATTCATGGCCGTCGCTCAAGGATTTCAGACATGCAAACTAAGCTCCGATGGTGGACGTGCATAGAAAGTTATCCTGATTATGACGTACCGATGCCTCTTTACCACGGCTGCATTCCCATGGGCCCGTACCCATGGATGCATGGAGACGACGTCGCCTCAGACGCGGATGAGGAGTCGGCCTCGGTGATCGACGTCGACGCGATCGACGAGCTGCCCAGGCCCGCAGACGGCGTGGAGATTGAGCCTCAGCCCGAGCTCGCAGATCTCGAGGATGAGCCTCGGCCCCAGCCTGCTGAGGATGAGCCTCGGCCCCGGCCCGCTGAGGATGAGCAGCCGATTGACGATATCAGCAGGCAGTCGTTGCTTCACACTATTTGCTCTGATGAACTTGATGCGCCCAGCAGGCTGGCCAGGGACGACTAGCAGTGCTAACAAAAACAAGCACCCAAAACAGCAATAACAATCAAACCCGTGAGGGCCAGTGAGGACCAGTGAGGACGTCTCGAGCGACGCGCGCAGGTGTGGGTGGTCGACCAGTGAGGACGCCTCGAGCGACGTGCGACACAGCCTGGGATATACCACTGCAGCGAGGACGTCTCGAGCGACGTGCGACAACAGCCCAGGCTAGATCGACCAGTGAGGACGTCTCGAAGGACGTGCGACACAGCCTGGAATATATCACTGCAGTGAGGACGTCTCGAGCGACGTGCGACAACAGCCCAGGCCGCGCAGAAAAAGACCAGAAGCTGGAGGTCATCGGACCCGTCCAACCCTGAGCTCTACGAGGCCCTGGTGGCCGCCTTCGACACGTATTTGTTCACGCTGAACGGCTGGAACTACGAGTCCAAGGACACGAAGACGGGAGTGGAGACGCCTTGAAAGGTTTCGCCCCGATCTGGTCGAAACTCATGACGCTGGACCCTAGAGGAGGATACTTCAGCCAGAGGGACATGAGAGGGGCTCTCGCTAAGTGCGCCATGCGAGACAGTTGCAGGCAGGCGTTCGCTGCGTACTGCGTCTCGCAAGGGTATGCCAGTATCGAACAAGGGCTCGTTCACTTGAGTTTGATTTTTCGCGTGGCGTGCGCCCACGCCAGAGACAAGCAGCAGCAGTACAGGAAGCTCACCGACATCGGCTCTCCTGCTGCTGTTCGTGCACACCCTGAAGAATTGCGACAGGTGCGCGAGCTCATCGCGCAGAGCCCAGGCCCAGTCGTCGGCCACAGGCCCCAACCATTCCCAGCTTTTCGAGGAGGTGAATCAGATCTGAGCTCGGACGACGAAGCCTACATCGTCAGCAAGAGCCTGGACGTCTCGGAGTTCAAGGCCGTCATATCGATGAGCTCAGGTCTGGAGGGCTACGCGGATAGATACCGTCGTGGAGACAATGGGCTAGCAGTTGCGGTCTGGGATGCCTACAGTGAGGAGTGGGAGATGGAACTGTCTGCGAATCTGATCACCGACGATGGGGCACATTTGCGGAGGCCCACGCTAATAGTTCAGCCCGAGCCCAAGAAGACGAGTACCGTGAAGAAGCCAGCGGCGGCCAAAAAGCCTGCGGCTGCCATGCCGCTGGCAGATGATGATGAGGCGCTTGCCGAGACCCCGAGGAAAGTCAAGAGAGAGGACGACGCGCCTAGTGATGATGCGGGCGAGGGCCGTGCCGTCGAGGATCCCAAGCACGGCAAGGTCGCCCTCGACATCTTGCAGCGCCCCCCTGGGAACGCCAAGCCTACAGGTGGCCCCGAGGTAGGCCGCAAGTCGTGCACGATCGAGGGCAGCCATATCAGCGTCCTTCTCACAGGCAAGGGCTCATTCTACATCGAGGGCGTGGCGGAGGACAACCTGGAGATCGCGAAGACAATGGGCGCCTTCAGTGGCATAGTGGACGGCAGAGGTCTCAACAAGAAAGGCGACCTGCAGCTCGCGATCGGCGAGGACGTCCAGCGGTCCTTCGACCTCGCGACATTCTTGGCCTGCCATCAGAAGTGAGGCTCGGAGCTCGGGGGGCTCAGAACCTGCGGAGCATTGAGACGGCAATGCGTGCTTGGCTCTCTCGAGAGAGGGAAACAATTTTCCACAGGGGTGTCCAGGCTGATCCTCCTACTTTTTCTCATCATCCAGCCTGTCAAGCCTCAGACCTAATCTCCACCCTCCTTCGGCCCAGGTCCGACGCCTGCGAGGACATCTCGTGCGAGGCGCCGAGGAGAAACCTACGTGCGAGTGCAAGCGACTGGGAACCAACTGACACGATGCGCGAGGATATCTCGAGCGAAACGCCTACTGCGTGCACAACCCTGAGCCCCCATGGGCCACATGGGGCCCATCGGGACCACGCGGGGCCCCCCAAAGCCCCAGCATATCTAACAGCCCCCCCTGCCGGATATGCTGCCAGATATAGATCCTCGAAACATATGTAAATTTCTATATGTAACAGGGGTCTGACAGATATGCTGACAGATATGGAGACGCCCTGCGTGCGCTGATCGGAGCGCCCTGGGACACTGGAGCGGTCCCTTATCCTCCTCCTCAGACCTCTTCCCATAGCTGTTTCGGCTACAGTTGGAGCTCGGGCGAGGTCGAGCCCCTGACCGCTCGCGCTCGCCATGCCGCCCAAGCGCAAAGCGAACGCTTTGCCCAAGGCGTGCGCCGAGATGAAGGCAGCCATTGGTGAAGCAGGGGTGACTGCTCAGTCGATCGGTAATGTTGACCACTCCGTCCGCGCCAGGGCTTTCTCGGCTCTTAACGCCACGCTCAAGAAAGATTGCCCATCCAAGGTGGTCGAGTACAAGGCGCTCACGGACGACGATCAGCGCCGCGGGTGGCTTGCAGCCTTCATTCTTGACCCAGAGAGCGGCGGGCGCTGCGCCAGCAACACGACTGAGCGTTCAAGCGAGACCGCCGACAACGTTGTCCACATTTGGGTCACGGTCGATGAGTATGGAGGCCCGCCGTTCCTCAACAACATGAAGCACGCGACGATCGCTGTCACTGCATTGCAAGATCGGCCTCACGAAAGCGCTGCGTTGGCAGCGAGTCAAGGAGTACGACGTCACGAAGGTTTGGGGGGAACGCTGCAACCGCCATAAGGAGACTGCCGCGGTGACCGCCGATGCGAAGATCACCCCCTCAGAGTGCCAAGAGGTGGCCAACGCCATGGCAACGGATGGAGATCCACCGGAAAAAGAAAGGTCGCACCCAGGGGAACCCGAGTTCTCGGGGGAGCACCCCGCCGAACCCACCAGCAGAGCTGAGTGCCGAGCAGCTGGTGACGAAGGAGCTCAAGGAAAGCATGGGCAAGACTTCCAAGGAGGCGAAGAGCTTGGTCGACAAGATGTGCAGGGAGCTTACAGAGGTGGAGCTCGTCGTGAACAGGCTCAAAACCAAATCTCGGTCACCTTCAGCCGTTTCCTATCTGCAGGAGGAGACCGCGAAGCAGGTGGCCTTCAAGGAGTCGCCCCACAAGCTGTGGACCGAGACGAAGGGGACGAAGTTCAATAGCAATGAGGATATAGAGGCGGCCACGGCGAGCCTCAAGACACCCAAGGCGAATTGCAAGAAGGAGGACAAGAAGTACAAGTCCAATGTCCTTGGCCCTTTCGCCAAAATCAAGTAATAGACGTGCGCCTCGACCTTGGGGGTGACTGGGGCACCGTGCAATGAGCTAGCTGGGGTTGCAACATTGCGTTGGTCGGCATGCATCGCGTCTTTCATATCAAGACGGCTGTGAGCATGATAAATGCACCTGCAGGGGCCCGATCGCTTCAAAGTGGCTCGAATGAGCGGCACGCCTCAAGATTATCCCACTCCTCTTCCTCCTCCTCGTCCTCAAAATATGTTGGCCCTGGGGGCCGAAACGCCTCAATAGTGTTCGGGGGGCGACGCGCAAATCGAGAGAGAGCTCAACAGAGGAAACAAATGCGAGGATGTATCGAGCGAATGCCCCAGCCAAACAGCGGTCAGGATATCTCGAGCGAAACGCCTACTGCGTGCACAACCCTGAGCCCCCATGGGCCCCCGTGGGCCCCATGGCCAATTTGGGCTCAAGCTTGTGTCAGGCTATGCCAGGGCACTTGCAGCAACTTGCAGAGTGGAGCAGGCCACCCGGCCTCGGCCTTCACCACTTGGTTGAATGGGATGGAAGGCCGAGGGATGCGGCAGATTACGTGAGACAGAACTTCAGCAGAGCACGGACTTCGGGTACCGAAGTCCAGAGGGCGTTGTGCGGCAATTCGGCGGCTCCCAGCAGTGGGAACCGCCATCGCGACGTGAATGCTGGCAGCGCCTGGGGAGCCAGAGCTCTACGCTGCCAGCATTCAGTTTTGGGGCCCAGTGAAACAGGAGCCTTATCAAGATGACGTGTATTTCTTGCTCTCTCAGGAGTGCGTCGAGGCTACGATTGATGACGGTGTGTTTACCAAATATCCGTGGGTTGATGTATCTTCGCAGCCGGTCCTTGCAGCGAAGAGGGAGGAGTGGTGCAGCAGAATGGGTATAGCTAGTGCTGACGTGGTCGCCTTCGGCCTCTGGGGCGACTTCGCCCCGTGCTTGACGCGGGACAGCATCCTGGCCTTGCCGTGCACGTCTCTCGGCGAGTTGCGATTCGAGCGCTTCTGGTTTGTGGCGCTGAGTAAAAGGACATCTTGTCAGTGTGGATGCAAGGGGTGGCATACTTCCGAGGGGATTTGGAAAGTACTAGTGTGGTCCTTTCGTGTTCACGAATGACAACCGGCCCCTTAGCGCCAGCACGAGAATCGGGACAAAAAAACGCAATGCCAAATTTGGTCCACTGAAGACCCGATCCTGCATGCCTTCGAATGACTGGGGGCTGGCAGTGGCTGAAGTATGGCCTTGGCTTGCAAGGGTGGGGCGACGACGCTTGTTTGCGAGTTCGCTGGAAGTGCGATGCCACGACTGATGACCTTGCCAATGCTGGTTTGGGCGCTCACTAGAGGTCGCTCTCTGTGACTACAGCGTCGCTCCTTGAGCGCTCGCAGTTGGAGTGATCATCTCTGGCGTCTTTAATATGCCAGGTTTCTTATTGGAATATTGCCTGGCCGATTGGATGCGCACGGTGGACCTGGGCATCGCCCAGATTTTGACAGCTTGCATACTTTGGGATGGGTGGCACCAGGGAGGACGACGAGCCTTGCAAAACCTTTTGTGTACTGTTGCGCCAAATGTCAAAACAATTGAACATCGATCCGCCGTTCTGGAGATGTACGCTTAACATGGTGAGGGTAGTCGGTACATCCCCCATGATGAAGCTCAAAGCCGCTGTCACAAGGAGGTTGGTTCCGTGCTTTGTCAGACTGTTGGACATGATTTTCCCTCCGCAAAATGCTAAGGAAATCGCTCGTTTGGAGTGCTTGCGTTTTTTGGACCTGTGCTACAAAGAAGCAGCGCCCGGGGGCGAGGGCAGCCCCTTTCGTCTGGCAAAATATGGGAAGTGTCACGTCGCACTCTACAGGGACCTCTGGTCCGCTGCGCACGGTTGGGTGTTGTACCGTTTTTTCCCGAAACACCACCTGTTCATTCACATTTGTGAGCGAGGCACAAATCCGAGGGACGAGTGGTGCTACAGAGACGAGTCAACTATCGCCGACGTTGTCCAGGTAGCAGAGCATCAAAATACACAGTGCCTGCACAGAACTATAATTCAAAAACACAGGCTTCATGCTTACAAGGAGCGATGAAACAAATAAACAACAACAAGCAACACCAACAACAACAACAACAACCGTCGGCACTCAGAACAGACATGCCACAAACCGGGCATCATCACCGCATCAACGTACACATACAACCTATATGTGTATACACGCACACGTATGCTACATACAAACAGCAACATGTATACAGAAGGCTCCGCCGTTGCCGCCAAATTGTTTCGTATCTTGGAGGATTTCGCCCAACCCGACAACCCCGATGGCTTGGTGTGGTGAGGTGGTGGTCGCGCTGGTGGTGGTGTTGGTGGTGGCATGTGGTGACGGTCGTCGTTTCGTGTTTGGCCGCGGCGCACGCACGCGCACTTCTCCACCACCATCAAAACCATTTGAACAAACCATAACAGATCACCGCACAATGTTGCGACCAATCGTTATAGTTATCAACGCAATGAATGATGATGTATAAGACATATATTGACAATGGCGGTTGAATGTAAAAACGATGTGATGTCAAAATAGGGGCTGTCCCGATTTTTCAGTAATGTGAAAAGATGACAATAAAGAATCGGCCCTACCTCCGATTTTGTTTCAAAATCGGGGACACACGAAAAAAAAGGAGATCGGACGACCAGGGTCTGAGGTGTCATGCTGGTGTCACTGTTTGTTCCCCCATCCCAGCACGCCCGGAACGCCGAGGAGGAGGAGGAGGGGGAGGAAAAGGAGGAACCCGCCACGGCCTGCCCAGGAGCGCTTCCGGGGACCCTCCGCCGGGGCCCGCATCGCCGATCTATAGGCGATGTATCCTTTGGCATCGCCCGGACGTTTGCATCTTGCTCGGCGACGACTATCAAGATTAATTGGAGTCATCTTGCGAGAAAAATACGCGACCGAGGGACCCCACGTACTTGATTTGAATATGATGTGTTTGAGAATCATTGCCTTACATGCGCAATCCTGCGTTGTGAACCGTCGTCGCGAATGTTTCCTTACTTCGCCATCCATCACAGCATTGCTTGAAACATCTTCCCTGTCCCCGCCTTTTTTCCTCCATTGTAGGAAAGTTCGAGGTTGTCACCGAAGGCAGGTAATGTAAGGGGATCTGCCACATCGCGGTTAGTCAGGGGGGCCACCTGTGGAAGTCGGTGCAAATCAAACCCTTCGCGCAAACGTTTTGGAGCGCCTCTAGAGTGATCCATTCTCCAACCCCTCATGCCGCGTTCTCCCGCACCCCTGCCTCACTTTCTCACCCAGGTCGGCCTACTGTTGTATTAAATTCATTATCGTGCAGTTTCTACGTCTGTCCTCGCATCCCTTGGACGGGGAGTGTCGAAGCTGCGCGCGCAAGGGAATTGCAAAGCAAACGTATTCCGCCTGCATGCGATCTGTGAGTGCCTTTTCGTGGAAGGCTCTGGGCTGCGGTTGCCACGAGGACAAAAAGCTGGGCGGCCGTTCCCAAATAGTCAAGGAGCGGCGCGGGCCGCGCGAATTCGATGCGGGTGGACAACGTTGCCTTCGTTGGAAAGATTCTGGCGCAAGTGCACACCAACGACGTCACGCCGCCGGCAAGATCTATTGGCGTCCCAGGGCGAGGGCCTCGATCTCCCGCGTTTCCGTGGCCATGCGCGCATCTAATTTCTGGAGCGCTTCAACACGGAAGGAGGCTGGTCTTTCTGCAGCGAGAGCGCACAGTGCAAAGCGAAGAGGCGAAGAGTAGGTACATCCATCGCGTTTCCCGGGTGGCCGTTGGAGTACGTGTTGGGAGCTTGCCACAAGTTGGCGTCGGCACCCTTTTTGGACGGTCGGTGCTAGGGATGATCCGTTCGCTTCTCAGCAAACGACTTGAACCACCCGTCAGTTTTCTCATCCGCCTGGGAAGCACAAGCCGGTCGATGTCGCAGGCTCCGTGACCAAGGTCCTTGGCGCCAGCGCTCGTCCGTCTCTGCGGGCCCAGGAGAAGTCTGAACGCGAGGGGCGCCAGCGGAACGAGCAGAAGCAGCCAGCAGCAAGGCCGGGGGCCGTTGTGGACTGCAAGACTGCATGGGCGGGGTTTTCGTTGGCTTGGCGTTCTTCGGCGTAGCCTTCGTAGGCGTGGCGAGCGCTGCGGAGGGGGCCTCTGCGTCAGCGGCCGCGCTCCTGGTCTCGCGCGCTCGCCGAACCTTCGCTGGCGGGCCGCCGCCGCCGTCGTCTAATCAGAAACGAGCCTCCTGGGGGAATCCGCCCGACGCAGGGTTCCGCAGGTGCGCCACCAGGCGCTGCCTTTAGCCGTCGTCGTTCCGCCCAGAGTACTTCGCGCAGAGCGCATCTGGCCAACAAGTGTTACACTGGTGGCGGTACGCGTTCAAAGCGGACTGTCCCACTCCGTTAGCACATCTGCGCGAGGTCTCCACACATGCCGACCTTGCCGCTCGTGGAGGTGGCAGCGCGTCCACTGCGTTTTTGTTGTGGGCACGGCTGCCGCGCGCAGGTAGGGCGGCGCTCTGAAGTGGGATTGCAGGAACGCCTGCGTGAGAGCGCATGCGCGCGGAGCCGGCTTGAGCCAAGGTGTTTACAGTTTTGGATAAGACACGAGTTTTCGCCCGTGCCCCCCCCCCCACACACACCCCGCGCGCAGCTCTCAAGGGTCATGGAGGTGCCGCGCCAGTCGCGCCGTGGGAGCACGAGCCGGGTACCTGGGAAGAGGTCGAGAGCTGCTGGGACGGTGGGGTGATGTTGGAAAGTGCCGCGATTGCCAGGCTGTGGCACACGCGGGACTGCCACGCCCGCCGCGCCTGCCGGCGCATCCCCTTGCGGCGTCGAGGAATTGCCACGCTTGCCACGCCTTGCGAGCTTGCAACGCATGGCGCCCCCACCACCAGCGCACCTCTTGTGGCGTCGAGGAGATGCCACGCCAGCCACGCCCTGCGAACCTGCAACGCATAGCACCCCCCCCCCGAACACCCCGTGCGGCGTCGGGCCATGACGCGCCTGCCACGCCTCTGCGTGCTTGAAACGCATGGCGCCCTCACCCCCAGCGCACCCCTGGTGGCTTCGTGGAAATGCCACGCGTCCCACGCCCTGCGAACCTGCAGCGCATAGTGCCTTCACCCCCAGCACCCGCTGTGGCGTCGAGGCAATGCCGTGCCCGCCACGCACTTCGAGCCTGTAACACATAGCGTCCCCGCCCCCAGCGCACCCCCTGTGGCGTCGAGGAAATGCAGCGCTTGCCACGCCCTGCGAGCTTGCAGCGCACAGCGCCCCCACCCCGAGCGCACCCCCTGTAGCGTCAAGGAAATGACACGCGTGCCACGTCTTGCGAGCCTCTAACGCAAAGCGCCCCCACCTCCAGCGCACCCCCTGCGGCATCAAGGAGATGACACGCGCTCCACGTCCTGCGACCCTGCAAGCCATGGCGCCCCCACCCTCAGAGAACTCCTTGTGGCGCCGAGGAACTGCCACGCCACGCCCTGCGAGCCTGCAGCGCACAGCGCCCCCACCCCCAGATAACTCCCTGTGTCGTCGAGGAGATGCCCCGCCGGCCACGCCCTGCGAACCTGCAGCGCGTACATATTCCACCCCCAACTCACCCCTGTGCCGCGCCTGCCACGCCCTGCGAGCCTGCAGCGCATTGTGCCCCCACCCCCAGCGCACCCCCTGTGACGTCGTCGAGAAAACGCCACGCCTGCCGCGCCCTGCGAGTCTGCAGCGCGTCGCGTCCCCACCACAAGCGCGCCCCCTTGTGGCGTCGAGGCAATGCCACGCCTGCCACGCCTTGTTAGCCTGCAGCGCATTGCGCCCCCGCCCCCAGCGTATCCTTTTGTGGCGTCGAGGACATGCCGCGTCTGCCACGAGTTGCCAGCCTGCAATTCGCAGCGCCGAGGAAATTGCACGCTTGCCACGTAGTGCGAGCCTGCAGCGCATAGCCCCCCCCGCCAGAGTCCCCTTTGTGGCGTCGGGGAAATGCCGCGTTTGTTTCGCCCTGCGAGTTTGCAGCGCATAGCGCCCCCACCCTCATCGCACCCCCTTTGTGGCGTCGAGGAGATGTCACGCCTGCCTCGCCTCGCGAGCTTGCAACGCATAGCGCACCCCCTTTTATGGCGTCAAACAAATGCCACCCCTGCCACGCCCTAGGGCCGCAGCGCATATCGCCCCCACCCCCGGCGCACCCCCTTGTGGCGTCGTGGAAATGCCACGCGTGCCACGCCCTGCGAGCCTGTAGCGCACAGCGCCCCCACGTTCAGAGCACCGCCTGTGGCGCCAACGAGATGCCACGCTTGCCACGCACCGCGAGCCTGCAGCGCAGAGCGCCCCCACCCACAGAGCACACCCTGTTGCGTCGAGAGTATGCCACGCCTGTTATGCCCTGGTGGGCCGTGCGCATACGTCTTGGTTGTATGATGCAGTGCGCATGTCACGCCTGCCACGCCCTGCGGGTCTTGAGCGCATGTGTTTTGCCTGTGTGCATGCGTGCAGCTGTATGTGGTACGCGTATCTCATGTACGTGCGATGCATGTGTTGCGGGCGGGTGAGGCGAGGAAAGAAAGGAGAGGATGTTGATGAGGAGGAGGAGAAGAAGAAGACGGAGGTGTGCGTAGGAAGAGACACGTGTGCGACACGGCTTGGCGGAAGGGTCGGATAGGTAAAGTGTGGTTACGAAATTTGTTGCATGCAGCTGGTTTCGGCCCCGCCTGGCGCTCAATCCTCGATACACGTGCGCCTCCCAGCGCCGGGAGGCGTTTGGAAGATCAGCTACGTGAAGTGTTTCTCTACCTTGCCCTTCGCTATCCTACCTTGCGCCCCCCCGAGAATCTAAGAACAACAAGCAGTATAAGCCTACTTTCGCGGAGGACTGCGCGGACTTCTCGGATCGGCGTTGGGAGCCCCTGGCGGCGTCTCTCCAACGCCCGTCGTCAAGTGAATGCACACATCCTTCCGAAACCCTGGCAACATCCACGATTTGGGCCTCTTCGAGCTATCCTGGAGAACCTCTTGGAGACCTCTTGGGCCGTCTGGAAGGTATTTTCGATGCCTTTTGGGCCGTCTGGGGCCGTCGTGGAGGCGTCTTGGGCAAACCTGGCATCTTGGACTTTCTTGGGTCGTCTTGGAGGCCAACTTGGACCATCTTGGACGAACTTGGAGGCCATCTTGGGCGAACTTGGAGGCCATCTTGGAGCCATTTGGAGCAGGACAAACCTTTGCAACCAGGCCTTCCAGGTGACCTGCGCGCTGTGCCGAAGGCCCAGGGGGAAATTTAAAGAACCACTGATCTTTCTGACCTTCCAGCACACTGGGCACCTTGTGGCAAGGCAACAGGGGGCGGCGGATTTGATTGTCACATGCCCATCCCGCCACCATGCCTGGGTTGTGGGTCAGAGTTCTCAGGGATGCTTCTTGGGGTCTCTTCGGAGCGCTCTCGGGGGCCTCTTGGAGACAGTTTGGGAGCCTCCTGGGAGCCTCTTCGGGGCCTCTTGGGGGCCTCTTGTTGCCTCTCGGGGGCCCCTCGGGGGCACCTCGGGGCCTCGCGAGGGCCCCATCGAGGCCGGGGGCTGGAAATGCCCGTTCGTGTCCCCCATCTGGGCCCCCTCTTGGAGCTGTCTTTGGCACCTCTTGGGCGGTATTGGGCGCTCTTTGGTCGTCTTGGTGCCCTCTTGGGCCGTTTATGGGCCCCTCCTTGAGGCCTCTTGGGCTGTCTTGGGGCGATCTTGAGCGTCGGGAAGCCGAAAAGGCGAGAACGCCAAAGACTTGCGAAAACCAACGGGAAATCAATGATTCTTACCTCTTGGAGCCCTCGTGGGAGGCCTCTTCGGGGCCTCTTGGGGCGTCTTGGAGGCTTCTTGGGCCGTGTGGGAGCCATGTTGAGCGTCTTGGAGCGATCAGTAGGCGTCTTGTGGCCCCCTTGGACCGTTAAAAGACCTCTCTGAACCCTCTTGGCCCGTCTTGGGCCCTCTATGCCCCCGACAAGTCATGCGGGGAGATGCGTTGGATCCCCGTCGCGACGCGACAAGCCCCAGTAGACTTGGCAATACGGGCTCCGGGCCCCTGAGAGATTCCTCAGGAGTGAGGCTTGAGGATTGAGGCTTGAACTTGAGGCTTAGACGATTAGGCTGAGGAAATGAGGACACGCCCACTCCATGCCCAGAGGCACGGTGGCGGATCGATCGGTCGCACTATTTGTGCCTTTCCAGAGGGGTGCGGCCCGAGAGCGCGAAGACGATCGCGCATCGCGCATCGCGTAGTGGGGAGCGCGGAGTGAGGCGGCCCGGGCCCCAGACGGGGCCGCCTACGATCCGATTCGGCTGCGATTCGATTCGCCAGCTGGGGCCGCGATTCCGATTCGAGTCGATTCGGTTTGATTCATCGGCGCCGGTTTGGGCCATCCAGGATCAGGCGCGGCGATGCGGTTTCGAGATCGGATTCGGGACGCTTCGCTTGCGATCCGATTCGTATTCGATCCGATCCGAGATCTCGCGGTTCGATCCAGTTCAGGCCTGCCAGGCCCCAGAGCCCCCTCCCGTTGGGCCAGGCGACAGCGCTGGGAAGGAGCCCGCGCGCAGGGCCAAGGCCAAGGCGAAAGCCACGGCGGCCAGGGCCAAGACGAAGGCCAGAGCGGCGGCGGCCGACGATACCGCCGAGGATACGGACGCGGAGTCTGCCAGCTCCAGTGCCGGGTGGGAGGAGGGCTCCCTCTCTCGGGCGCTCGGCATCGGGGAGCAAGAGCCAATGGCCGTTGAGAACAGCTGTTGCGGGAGTGCCAGATCCCAATTTGCTGTGAGCGATGTCCTGCTTTACGGGTCGAACGACTTCCCCTGTTCCCTCCTCGTCGGCGGGCTGGTTGGAGCCCAAGCCAGCAACGTCCGCCGACTTCCGACCTCCTGTCTTTGCCCCTGTCCTCCCACCGCAGTGGATGAACGTGGGATGGATCGAGGATTGCAGGCAAGCGGCCCCAGGGATGGAGGATTCGAGGACGGATCGAGGACTGCAGCGCTCGAGGATGGATCGAGGATTCGAGGATGGATCCAGGAACGGCCGCAGGAGTCGGGGATGCATCGAGGACTGCATGAGGGTGGCCCCAGAGGGGCCCTGCCCGGACCCAGGACGGCGGCCGCGAGCCAAGGAGGTGGTGGGACGGTGCGCGGGTCCTCCTCGTCTTTCTCCTCCTCCTCCTCCTCCTCCTCCTCCTCCTCCTCCTCCCTCCTTTCTCTCCTCTTACCCCCTCTTCCCTCTTCCTCCTTCCTCAGTTTCCCCATCTCGCCTCGCTCCCCCAGGCTTCAGACCGTCCCCGCCGGGCGCCGGGGTCGCCACGCGCTTTCCTGGTGGTGGTGGTGGTGGCCCCCCAGGGCAGGCTGACGCGGCCATGGGACCCTCTGACCCCTCTTTTGTAGTCCTATGATCATCGCGTTGTAGCATAGCAGACGTGTCGCCTGGGCAGCCCAAAGGGGAACCGCTTAGGAACGAGCAGTGGCCACGGGCTAGTAAGCTCCCACTCAATGGCCCACAGCGGGACGTGCCCAGGAAAGTTTTGCGCACATGGGGATATGGTTGGTTGGTCGGCTGGTTGGTATGCTCGACTCTGCACCCCCCCGTGCTCGGCTGGTCGACGCGGGGCCGACTTGCAAGACGGGTTGGCTTCAAGCAAATCCCTGCCGGCCCCCGCTTCCCATAAAGCCCACGTTGATGAGACTGGCCATCTGGATCATGCGCCCTTGCGGCTTGCGCTCTTCACCGGGCCCATGTGGAATGCGCCATTTCCGCGCGCCGAACATCTCGCCGTCCGCGCGCAGGTGTCACCCGTGTCGTTGCACCCCGTACGCTCTGAAGAAGCCACAGCGTCAAGGGCGTGTCCAGCACGCGAGCAGCGCTTCTCTCTTTTTGTTGTACGGGGATAGTTTCGGTTTCCGGCTAGGCGGCGCCATGCGATATACTCGCGCAAACAAGTTGTTTGGGTTCGGTTTCCAGCACATGTGCGGAAGTCTGGCCGGAATAGTATGTGGTTTTGCATAGATTTTGAGGCAATGGGCCGTCGTTCGCCTTGAAGGTTTTCTCAGTTCCGTTGTCGATCGGCTTTGTGATGGACGGGGCGGGGATGTAGGGGCGTTGGGACGGGAAATGGAGAATTGACGAATCCCTTCTTTCCTTTCGATTACCAGGAGGCCCTTTTCAAAACAAGTCTTGTTTTTGCGGCTAGCCGGCGAAGGGGATCGAAGGGGGAGGGACGGGGGGGAACTTACCGGAGGGGACGGGTAGGAGGAAAGAAGGAACGACGGGACACGTGCCACAAACATGCGCTGGTGCAGCAGGGGGACGGAGAAAAGAGCAGAATGGGGGATGGGGGGAGGGAGAAAGGAGGATCATGGGGGAGGGGGTGGTCGAGGAATTGGATCCGGAGGGGAGGGGGGGACAAGGATTGGGAGGGCGGAGAGGGGATGGGGGAAAGACGGAGGAGAGAGGCGGAAGGAGTAGGATAGGGGGGGGGAAGGTGGAGGATTCGGATTTGGACCTCTTTGCGGGGCACGGCGGCGCAGGCCATTTTTTCGACGATCGACCGGCCGATGGCGCGCCGCGCCGGCCCGCGAGGGCCCGAGAAGCCACAGCGACAGGCCAAACGACTGGCGCGTGCCGCGCGGGCGCGGCCCCCATGGGGCGGAATGCCCCGTCCCTGCTCGGCGGCGAACCTGGGGGGGAATTTCCAGGTTCGAATTTTGAGGTTCGCCTCTGGGGAGCGTTTTTGGCCGTCGGGCCTCCGAAATTCAATCCGGAGCGACAGGCCGTGTCGGATGGTCCCTGGGACGGGCGATATTCGGCGGCGCGCACAGGAAGGGAAGAGAATCGGGGCGGACCTTCTCAGAAGGCCTCTTGTATATGGGTTCAAGTGGATCTGGAAAAACTTGGAGGCAGGTGGCCTTTTGAAAACAATTTGGGAGCCTCTTGGGTCTTCATGGGGCCTGTCGGGGGCTTCTGGGGGCCTCTTAGGGGCCTCTTGGAGGCTTCTTCGGGGGTCCTGGGAGCTTCTTGCCGCGGAGGACTCGACATGTCGGTTCAGGTTCCCCCTCTTGGGCCCCTCTTGAGGGCGTCCTGGGGCCTTCTTGGGTTGTTCCGGGGGCCTCTTGGGCCGTCTTGGGGCCTTCTTGCGCCCTTTGAGGCTGTATTGGGGCTCTCTTGGGCCGTCTTTGGGCGCCCTTGGGCGCTTCTTGGGCGGTCTTTTGGAGCGATCTTGGGAGTCTCCTGGGCCGTCTTAGAGAGTTGGGAGCCCGAAGCGGCGAGCATGCGACAACGTGGGCCCCCCTTGGGGGGGGGGTGCTCTTGGAGTGCTCTTGGGGCTTTTGGGGTTCCTCTGGGGCGGTCTTGGATTCATCTTTGGGCGCCTTGGGGCACTCTTGGACCGTCTCGAAGGCCTCTTCGACCGTCTTGGGGGCCTTTACGAAGACTGGTAGCCTCGAGTGCGCAGCATCTGTGCAATTTACGAGGGATTGTGATCTCGATGGTACGAATGATTTTGTTGTGCGCAACGCCCCCCCAGGAATACAGAGCCCCGGGAGGGGAAGGTAAAACATTCCTATTGGTCTCCCCCCTCTCGCGTTTTAGAAACAATTCGCAGTGGGCAGCAGAAAGAAGGACTCTAACATTGGAGACTTGAAGCTGGAACTGGAGCAGGGAGCAGGGAGCAGCAAGCCTAACCTCCGCAGCCTGATGGCCCCACAAGTGGGCCGGCGGATATTCATTCGTTTGGTATTGTTGGGTTTTCAAAATCACCGAGCTCCACGTCACAATTTTATGTGAACATAATCAGAATCACGAATACCTCGCAGTTTTCGGCCAGGGGGGATACACTGCTGGCAGTTTTTGGCCGACGGGCATATTGGCTTCCCATTCCGCCTCCCTCTCCGTGGGGAACCGCTTCTCCGCTCCAGCCTCGTGCTGCAAACCACTAGGTAAATCCAAACACTTGGGTCGTACAGTCGGTTTGGCATGGCTTCTGAACCCCGGGCATTGCGGAACGCCCCGTGCCAAAGCGCAGGTGCCAGCGTCGTCTTGCCCCCTCCGCCGAAGAAGGGGAAGAAGGCTGCGCGCTGGAGGGGCACGCAGGAGATTGTGCGGGGGGGGTGGAGTGGCGCGCGATAGGACAGGCGGGTTTGCACTGGACCAAGTAGATGTAGGCAATGGCAGGCCGCCTCCTTCACGTATTCGGCTCTGCTCTTGGCTGAACCGCCCCCCGCCCATCAGCCCATGAGGTTGTTATCTAGGAGTGGCAGGTAGTATATGGAAACCTATAGGCGTGTTTTACGGGCGCAGCCCGTAATTTGATTCTCGCGAGGTAGACTGACTGAACTGAACTGAACTGAACCCTTATGGCCGTTAGATGGCAGTTTTATTTTTTTGGGTGAGGATATTTGGGCGGCAGTTTTAAGTTTGACGCCAGAGGGTGAGGACATTTTGGGAGGCCGTTTTGAGCAAGAGGGTGTGGGAATTGGGGGGGTGAGGATATTGCGGGGGCAGTTTTAGGCCAGGGAGGGTGAGGATATTTGGGCGGCAGTATGACGTTTGACGCCAGCGGGTGAGGATATTTTGGGAGGCGGTTTTAAGCCAGCGCGGGAGGATATTTGGGAGGGCTAGTTTTCCGCCAGAGAAGGTGAGGATATTTCAGGTGCAGTTTGATGCCAGGGAGGGTGAGGATATTTGCGCGGCAGTTTTAAGTTTGACGCCAGCGGGTGAGGATATTTCGGGAGGCAGTTTTAAGCCAGCGGGGGGGGATATTTGAGAGGTCTACTTTTCCGCCAGGTGCGGTGAGGATATTGCGAGGATACTGCGGGTGCAGTTTTTGGCCAGGGATGTTGAGGATATTTTACGGGCGCAGCCCTTCATTTTATTCTCGCGCGGTAGACAGACAGATTGAATTGAACCACCAGGCCGTTAGATGGCAGTTTTATTTTCGCGGATGAGGAAATTTCGGTGGCAGTTTTAAGCCAGCGTGTGAGGATATTTCGAAGGTAGTTTTAAGCCAGCGGGTGAGGATATGTGGGTGGCAGTTTAAGCCAGCGGGTGAGGACATTTCGGTGGCAGTTTTAAGTCAGCGGCTGAGGATCTTTCGAAGGCAATTTTAAGCAAGAGGGTGAGGATATTTCGGTGACAGTTTCATGCTAGCAGGGCAGGATATTTTGGTGCCAGTTTTGAGCCAGCCGGTGAGGATGTTTCGGTGGCAGTTTAACGCCAGCGGGTGAGGATATTTCGGTGGCAGTTTTAAGCCAGCGGGTGAGGATATTCTGGTGGCAGTTTTCAGCCAGCGGATGAGGATATGTCGGTGGCAGTTTTATTTCCGCGGGTGAGGATATTTCGGTGGCAGCTTTGAGCCACCGGGTGAGGATATTTCGGCGGTAGTTTAAGCCAGCGGGGGGGGGCACATTTCGGTGGTAGTTTGAAGACAGCGGGTGAGCAGATTTCGGTGGCAGTTTTAAGCCAGGTGGTGAGGATAGTTCGGTGGCAGTTGTAAGCCAGCGGGTGAGAATATTTCGGTGGCAGCGTTATTTCCGCGGGTGAGGAGATTTCGGTGGCAGTTTTAAGCTCGCGGGTGGGGATATTCCGGTGGCAGTCTCAAGCCAGCGGGTGAGGATATTTCGGTGGCAGTTTGAAGCCAGAGGGGGGGGGCGATATTTTGGTGGCGGTTTCAAGCTCGTGGGTGAGGATATTTCAGTTGGAGTCTGAAGCCAGCGGGTAAGGAAATTTCGGTGGCAGTTTGAAGCCAGCGGGTGAGGATATGTCGGTAGCAGTTTTAAGTCAGCGGGCGAGGATATTTGGGTGGCAGTCTCAAGCCAGCGGGTGAGGATAATTCGGTGGCAGTTTTAAGCCAGCGTGTGGGGATGATTCGGTGGCAGTTGTAAGCCAGGTGTTGAGGATATTTCGGTGACAGTTCTAAGCCAGCGGGTGAGGATATTTCGGTGGCAGTCTCAAGCCAGCGGCTGAGGATATTTCGATGGCAGTTTTAAGCTCGTGCGTGAGTATGATTCGGTGGCAGTTGTAAGCCAGCGGGTGAGGATATTTCGGTGACAGTTCTAAGCCAGCGGGTGAGGATATTTCGGTTGCAGTCCTAAGCCAGCGTGTGAGGTTATTTCGGTGGCAGTTTTAAGTCAGCGGGTGAGGATATTTCGCTGGCAGTTTTAAGTCAGCGGGTGAGGATATTTCGGTGGTAGTTGTAAGCTAGCGGGGGAGGAGAAGGAGGAGAGAGGAACCGAGAAGAGCTGTGCTCGGCGCGGGCATCCAGCCGCCACGCGATGCGTCATTCGCTTGGTTGGCCCAGCCGACGGCTACGCATCCAGCGCGGTGCTGCGCCCGTATATATGCTCGCCCCTCGGCGTGGGGCTGGCGGAGGGCCAAGAGGCGAGCTGTCGGGTGATTATCATGGGTGTCCGGAAGTTTGTCTATGTTTGTGCCTGCGTGTGACAGGGGTGCGATTTTGTGTGGGAGCGAGTGAGTTTGTGTGCGTGTGTGCGCGCTCTCAGTACCAGTGAATGTGAGTATGTGGGTATGGATAACATGTGTCCGAGCGTTGGCGTCTGTCAGGAGAGACAAAAGTACCACTACTACCAGCTATGGGGATGGCCGCTCTCTCCCCTCGAGCTGGTGGCACCTCCTTCCAGGAACTCTCTGGACGCATGCCCGGAACGAGGTGCCATCAGCTCGAGTTGGTGGGACAGCCGCCCCCTTAGCTGGTGGTAGTGGTATGTTTGTCTCTGGTGGGTATGAGGGAAAGCCAGAGTGATTTTTTTGTGCGAGTTTGCGTGTCCAGGGTATGAGTGAGTCTGAGCAGGTGTCAGCGGAGTGCGAACGAGCTCGAGTCGTACATTTGGGCGTGAGAGCCTTTGTATGAGTATAATGTGGAATGGAAAGGTTTGGCGGATGGGCCCCACTTAAAACAACATCTCCGAAAGTGGAGGTGGGGAAACATGAAACGTGGTCGAGTGGCTTGGGTGCCCGATTACCGATAACAGCCAGTGCCCCGTCGGACGAGTCTTACGTCGGATCGGGCACGGTAGGCAACTGACTATGAGGGAGCACACCTTCACAATGAGTCTTTCGAGGATTTGGTGCCCAAAGCCGCGGCACTTTTTAGGAATTGCATACACATCCAAAGCTCTGGCCCGACGTTGCATTCACAGGCGAGGGTTTAGCTGGATATCAGGCTCAAGTGATCTTCTTACTGAAAGTCTCGGACGGCTTACTCGTGCATCGCGGATGCGAAGCTATTATTTTGGAAGCGAGCGCAGTTCCGGGTGGTTCGACAGATGTGAAAGTCATTTAAGTTTTACCGCAGCAGGATCTGACACGCGGCCATCAGTTGTCGCTATGGTGCCACTTCCATGTGACTGGAGCACTTTTCGGAACTGCGTAATGCAATCTGCCCATCATTTCCAAGCTGAGATCCATGCCAATGCTTCAGTTGAAAGGCGCTTGTTACGCCCACATGTTCGTTTTAAGGTGTACGAGGGTGAGCCTGACGGCAAGGCTGGGCCGGCGCTCCATCTGCACGAGCCGCTTCTCCCAGCGGCGCAGGCTCCGCAGAAGGCCAAGAAGAAGGCCAAGAACGACAGACAGAAGGAGACCAAGAAGGTCTCTCCGTCGGCCGCCGCCACTGCACTCTCCATCCAACCAGCTTTGCTTCTCTCCACTCCGATCGTCGTGCCGCCCGCCCTTCCGCTCTCCACTCCGCTTTCCAACGCGCCCCTCTTCCATCGCTAGAGGACTGCACCTGCTTGATCGCTCCCTCAATCCCTCAGTTCCGCCGGACTTCGCTCAACTTCGCTCGTCCTGCTCGCCCGATTGCTTCCTCACACTCCAATTCGATCATTGGCCCGCCCGCTCTGCCGCCCAGTGCTTCCACGAAGCCTTCTCTGCCCGCTCGAGTCGCCCATTCCCGCTCGTGCCGCCTGTGCCCAGCCTGATGTCGGGCACCGTTCGTTGCGAGACCACGTCGCGCTGGCGTCTGAGCACTGCCAGGGCCCTCGACGTCTGAGTGTCCGCGCGCGCCTCCCACGCGTGCCGCGGCTGCGCCCCACCCCCATGCTTTGGTCGTCTTCCCCCTCTCGGGGTCTCCCAAATTGAGGTCTCTGTAGATGGGGTCGCAGGATCCCGCTGCATCGGCGATTGACTGGCGGCGTCGGCGTGAAGAAGATCGGGCTCCACATCGAGCGATGCATCCGCGATGCCGATTGGCGATGCCGTGCGATCGTTCGGCCACACCTGCTCGCACCCCATCTGAGAGGCTTGTGTCACCCCCCTTCCTTCCCAAGGGCTCCCCCGAGGGCGCGAAGTTATTCGCGCTTCGCGCTTCGCGGTCCTCGTTCCTCCTCCCCCTCCTCCTCGTCCTCCTTTTCTCCCTTTGGGGGGGCGGCGCGAGAGCGCGAAGTTATTCGCGCTTCGCGCTTCGCGGAGCGCGAAGCGCGAAGTTGGGAGCCCTTGCCTCCCGTCGTCCTCTGCGGGAATTCTGAAGGTCTCGCGCAGAGCACAGCAGTTGTACCATCCGGTCCACACGTCCGCTCCGTCAGATACGAGACGACGTTCGCGAGGCGCTGTTGCGACGCATGTCCGGCGCAAAGTACATGCTAGTTCGATGCAAATCCGACGCAAATCCGACGGGAGCCCGACGCAATGTCGACGTGGATCGGACGTAAGTTGTGTCTCAAGTTGCCGCGCGAGGCCTCCAGGCTTTACCTCCTCCCCGTCGTCGTTGTCGGAGAGAGCGTGATCCACCGCCGCATTACTGTGGAAAATATCCCCCTCTTCCCCTCTTCATCTGGAGCCTGGGCCCCCCCCCCCTTTCTTCGAAAATACCCCCCCCCCCTCCCCCCCGGCAAGACCTCCCCCCCTTTAACCCCTTCCGCTCCCCCCCTCTGGAAAACCCGGGGCGGTGTCACTCCGGCTCGAACCCCCCCTCCAAAAAAGGAGTGGGGGGTCATTGCCGGTTCGAACCCCTCCCCTCCAGAAAACCAGGGGCGGTTTCACTCACTTATTTTATTATTTTTTTTTTTTTTTTCTTTTCCTTTTTTTTTTTTGTTTTTTTTATTTTTATTTTATTTTATTTATTTTTTTCTTTTATCGTTTTTTTTCTTTTTTTTTTTTTTTTTTCTTACTTTTTTTATATTTTTTTTTTTTTTTGTCACTATCGGTTCGAAGCCCCCCCAGCCTCCAGAAAACCGGGGTGGGGGGTCACTACCGGTTCGAACCCCCCCCCTCCAGAAATCCAGGGGGGGGGTCCCCACCACCGTCCGCACCACCACGTCCGCACCACCGTCCCCACCACCGTCCGCACCACATCCCCCACTGCTGTCCCCAGCACCACTCTCCCCACCACCACTTTCCCCACTGTTGCACTGAGTCTGTCCCCACGTACCCACCACTGTTCCCACCACGGTCCCACTCTCCCCACTTTCCCCGCGGTCCCCACCACTGTCCCTCTGTCCCCACTGTCCCACTGTCCCACTGTCCCCGCCGCTGTCCCACGGAGCTGTCCCATTGTTCCCACCACTGCCCCCACTGTCCTTACCATATTGTTCCCACTGTACCCCTGTCCCATCGTCCCCACCAACGTCCTCGCCGCCACCGCCCTCACCACTGTCCCCACCACCACTGTCCCCACTGTCCCACCACTGTCCCACTGCCCCAACTGTCCCAACCACTGTCCCACTGTCCCCACACCACTCCACCACCGTCCCCACCGCTGTCCCACAGTCCCCACCACTGTCCCACTGTCCCCACTGTTCCCAGCAATGTCCCCGCTGTCCCCACCAGTGCCCCGACCAGTATCTCATCGTCCCCACTGTCCCCACCATTGTCCCACCACGGTCCCACTCCCCACTGTCCCCACCACTGTACCCACTGTACCCACCACTGTCCCACTGTCCCCACTGTCCCCGCCGCTGTTCCACTGTGCTGTCCCACTGTCCCCACCACTGTCCTCACCACTGTCCCACTGTCCCCACTGTCCCCGCAAATCTCCCCAGTGTACGACTGTCCCACCACCGTCCTCACCACCGCCTTCACCACTGTCCCCACCACTACCGTCCCCACCACTGTCCCACTGTCCCCACTGTCCCCACCACTGTCCCGCTGTCCCCTTACCACTGTCCCCACCACCACCGTCCCCACCACTGTCCCACTGTCCGCACCACCGTCCCACTGTCCCCATACCACCGCCCCCACCACCACCGTCCCAATAACTGTCGCAGTATCCCCACCACTGTCCATCTGTCCGGAGGAGCGGGAATCGTTTGCCGGCGGAAAGGGGGGTGGGGTCAGTTCGAACCGGTAGTGACCCCCCTCTCTTGTCATGATGGACTGGAGGGGAGGAGGGGGAGGGTTTGAACCGGTAGTGACCCCCCCCGGTTTTCGAGGGTGGGGGGGGCGGGTTGCGAACCTCCCGTGACCCCCCAGGTCACGCTCTTTCAGTTATCGGCATCGGCGTCGTCGTCGCCAGTGGTGGGAATGGCAAGCGCAGCTCCCAAGCCTGGAACACATCCTTGTCCTCATGATTGGCATCGCCTCGTCCCGATGCCAATCTATAGGAATAGGGATAAGTTCGAGGCTGGCTAGCGGCGCGAGCTTCAGGGATAGGGATAAGTTCGAGGCTGGCTAGCTTCAGGGATCAGGATAATTTCGAGTTGGCGCCGCCTCATCCCGATGCCAATCTTTAGGATCCCTTCAGCTTCTGAGGGTGCATCCCTGAGATTGTCATCGCCTCCCAGCTTGTACGTCTCAGGGATAGGGATGAGTTCGAGGCTGGCTAGCGTCGTGAGCTCTGCGTGCGTTGCGCCGTGCGAGCTCGCGCGCGCGCGCGCCGTGCCGTAGCCGACTCCGTGGGAGGCCGCCCAGCGGCGGCGCGCGCGCTTCTTTGCCATCCAGTGGAGGAAGGGGGGGAGAAGGAGGAGGAGGAAAAGCTAGGTGCGCTCGTGTCATGTCTGACGTCCTACCCCTCCCTCCCATCCCTCACCGTCGCGCAGATTTCCCCTGTATTCGCACAGTCGGATGTCGCAGCAGGGCATAGCAGCACATGGCATAGCATGGTTTTGAAGATCAACGCATAGCCTGACCTAGCATGGCGTGGCGCGTGGCGACGCCCCAAAGTGGGGGGGGGGCTTCTTCGGGCCAGGGAATAAACAAATCGACGCCGAATGTGTAATCACTTCCGACGGTTTCTTTTCGGGGTGGCATGTTTTAGATTTTGGGACTTTTTGAGGACAGAATGCCATGCCGTGGCACGGCGCTGGAAATAATGACGCCAGCGTTGCAGCGGAAGCACGATTCGAAACGAGCGGAAGCGCGGAGCGCGGAAATGAGGCCAGCGTTGCAGCGGGAGCACGATGAGGAGGATGCGTAGCCTCCCATAGCATGGTGTGGCGACGCCCCAAAGTGGGGGGGCGGGGCATCTGCGACCACAGAAATCAACGAATCGACAGCGACTGTGTAGTCACTTGCGATGTTTTTTTTTCCAGGGGGCATTTTTGTAGATTTTGAGGCCTATTGGGGAGGACCGAAAACCGTGCCGTGGCATGGCGCTGGAAATAATGACGGCTGCAGTGGGAGCTCGATTTGGAACGAGCGGAAGCGCGGAAATGAGGCCAGCGTTGCAGCGGGAGCACGATTCGGATCGAGCGGTAGCCCGAAAATGAGGCCATCTTTTCAGCGAGAGCAGCATGTTGAAAAAAAAGAGCGAAAATCCGACTCCTGGAATCCTGTGTGTAAAATACCAGTACGCGGAGAGGGGCCGAACATTTCCCGGACGTCGCCAGGGGAGAGAGGAGCCTTGTATTCATATTGTATCATTGTCGAGGAGGAGGGAGGAGGAGGCGGACGAGGAGGAGGAGGAGGAGGAGGGGGAGGAAGGCAGGAAGAGGAGGCCGAAGAGGAGGACGGGGAAGAGGAGGGGGAGGAGGATCCAGGCTGCAGCCCTAAGTTTGCGCCACGCGCCACGTCACCGGGGGGCGGGGGGGGGGGGGAGAAACCGCGAGGAAGACGAAACAAACGCGCCCGGCGAGCGCGCGGGGCAGCCGTCGTCGGCACGTGCGCGCCCCTGCCCGCCGAGTCCCGCCGAGTCCCCTCCCCCAAACGCGCGCGCGTCGCGAAGCCAGCAGGAGCGAGGTCTGAGCGCTTGGAGATCGAGGACCGAGGAGCGAGGTCTGGGCTCGTGTTCGCCCTCCCGGGGCCTCCCGTGGGGCTCCTCGCCGCCACGGCCGCCTGCGCCCCGAAGTGCCGAGACGGGTTCCGGGATGGATCCCCGACCCTCGGACCCAGACGTGCTCGCGTCGCGAAAACCGCAGTACGGGGTGTTTTTCTGATCGACGGCGAGCGAGGGGAAGAGGGGAGACGGAGAAGGCCTGCTCGGAAGGCGCCGTGGCTCCTCAGAAGCTTTTGCGCACTATCAGAGGTTTCCCGTGTCTCCAGGGAAGGTTCAGAATTTCTGAGCCCCCATCTGGCCGCCGAACCTCCTTCCCAGACATGTTCGCGTCGCGAAACAACCAACAATGGCACCAGAGATCTTCGGCAGCTTCGAGCCTCTTTGAATAGGACTTTTCTCAAACGCTAGGTGCAGTTCAGTAGCGCTGTCGTCCTTGGCGGACTCAAGCTGAGTCCTGAAATTGAATAGATCACCATGCAGACGTAGTTCAAAGTATGTCCCCGTGCATACACCAGGGATAATCAATATGTTTGGTCTGGTTCGACATACTTGCCGAAAAGACCTCCTATCCTTAATTTTCTGGGCCTCTTCACGTAGGTCCGCCGCCAAAGGGCTAGTTTGTTGTTGTTGTTGTGTGCTGTTTGCATAAAGCCCTCCCGAAATAACATTGTCCCAAGACGTGCTCGCGTCGCGAGATAATCAGGACAGGAGGTGTTGGACAGGTTTCGGCTTCCGTGGGCCATCGCAGGGCCCCGGGACCAGCAACGAACAGCTCGTGACGAGAAATCGGCCCTCCGGAGGGGGTCGGGACCTCGGGGAGCATCCCATGGAAACCATCCGGACGTCGCGTGTCTGGGTCTCCCTCCCCTCCGATGTCCTGCCCCCCCCTCTCTTCCCCTGCCCTCCTGGGGATCCTTTTTATTCGATGCTCGTTTCGGGGACCTTCCTGGAGCCCACCTAACGGATCTGTTCGACCCCAGTTCGACTCAAGTTCGATTCAAGTTCGACTCAAGTTCGACTCAGTTTCGACTCAGCACGCCCAGAGCGAAGCTGTCATGGACCCAGATATCCGAAGTAACGCAGAACATGTAGCATCGTACAACAACACAGCATCGTACAACATTAGACCCCATCTTTCTGCGTCCTGTTTCGAGCAGGATCGATGTGTGAGAGTCCCAGGGCCCGACAACATAAAAAAAACGAAAACGCCCGGCTCAAAAAACGTACAGTGGAAACCCATGCCAAGAAACACGTTGTTTGCCTCCAGGGCGCCCTGGTATTCTTGGGTTTCGACGGCTCTGTTGTGCAGAAATCGGTGGGCGTCCTAGGGTCCCAGAGTTAGGTGTCTTGCGGATGGCCTTGTTTGTGGTCGAGCACCCGCTGTAAGACTCTAGGCCTCCTAGATGGGGTCGGAGTAGATGGGGTCGGAGGATCGCTGCGCATTGCCGATGCATCGGCGATGTGTCTCGATGTGGAGCCCGATTTGCTTCACGTCGACGTCCCCGATGCATCGCCGACGTCGACGAAGCATCGCCGATGCATCGCCGAGGCATCGTCGATGTATCGGCGATGCGGCGCGATCCCCCGACCCCATCTACTCCGACCCCATCTAGGAGGCATCTATAGACGCCAGGATCTCAGTGGGAGCGAGAGGGCTCTCTGCTCCTCTTGCCGCGCGGCGCCATGCGCCCCCCCCCCCCTACCTCCGAGGGCGCGGCGAAGCAGGGGGCCCCCGCGGCGTCCTCGTCGGCCAGCCCCGCGCGAGGCGGCCGCGGGCAAGGGGGGGGGGAGAAGGAGAATCTCAGGCTTACGTCGGGCCCGTCCCCCTACAGGGGGAATGTTCAAAGATAGTAAAAGAATTAGCCTGGGGACTATTGTTTGAATGTGCTGTGCATCTTTTTGGGCATTTCTGTTTATTTTTCGTCCAGAATCCTTATGTAGGGGGACGGGCCCGACTTCATCTCAGGCTGGACGAGAGGAATTTGGGGAATGCGGATCGGGAATTTGGGCGGGATGCGGGAGTGGGGACTTCGGGCAGGGAGCGGGATAGGGGAGTCTGGAACGCCAGAATATCGGCGGTGGGATGGAGAGTTTGGGCGTCGCGTGCAGTCGGATCGAGGTAACAGAAGGATCGATGTCGGTTCAGGGAGGGTGCCCTAGTGCTCTTCGTGTCTGTTGGGAGTTCTTGTGCAACCTGGGGAGGGTACCATTTGGTGTTCTGTGCGTTTTGGCCGGCGGAGGGTCTCCATGTTTTTGAGGGATATCTGTCTGGCCTAGGTCCGACTGTAGGATGCGACGGGAGGCGCCCATGTATCGAGGAATGGGCCCAGCGGAGGGGCGGCGGGCGAAAATCAGCTGCACGAAGCAGATTTTGTACCCCCGTCTCCTTGAGCGTCGCTTCATGGCGGCGATCTATATATATATATATATATATATTATATATATAATATATATATATATTATATATATAAGGGGGGGGGGGGGGGGCAGGAAGAAGAACGGTTGTACGTTTCGGGCCAACAAGGCCCCCGTTTGGGGCCCTTGAGGGCCACTCTGAGGGGCCCTCAAGGGACCCTTTCCGCCCTTGTTGCTGTCACCCATTCATCGCCTCCCATTACGCGACGATGGGAAAAAGAGGGTGAGTTGATTGTCTACCCTACCCTCTGCTATCCTACCCTTTCGTCCTCCTCGAAGGGGCAGGGAGAATGGGGGGCAACGTTTACTGGCGGCGAGCGAGGCGTGGAAGCGAGAAGGATAAGGCCTTCTCAGAAGGCGGAGGGGCTTCTCAAAAGCCCTCCTGCCTTCTGAGAGGTTTTCTGCGTCTTCGGGGAAGGCCTAGAAAACCTTTCAGAGGGCCGTGGGACTTTCCAGCCTTCCGAAAAGGGCCGCCTCCTTTCACTTCCCCACCCGAGCTTGCAGTCGTGTCTAGGAGGGTTCGCTTGAACGCCGCCGGCGTCGCGGAATCGGTCGATGTTGGAATATTCGCGGACTCGGTCGATGTTGAAAGATCCGGCGTTTCGGAAACAGCCGATCGTTCAAGGTTGAGCGATCCCCACGGTGTCAGAAGCCAACGCCGAAGTCGGCACGACACGAATTTGCCGTACGAGGGGCAGGAGAGGATGGAGAGGAGGAGGAGGAATGAGGAATGATGAGGAGTCGAAGAACAAACAACTGCGTCAACGATTTGTTGGATCGGAAACAGCTGCATCAACAAATTCTTGGATCGGCGCTCGGCCCCTCCTTGCGGCGCCTGCAGCGCCGCCCCTGGCGCGCGGAGCGCACCAGGGAGGGGTGTCGAGGGCGGTTCCAAGGAACCCGCGCGGACCTCCTACAATTTACGTTTCTGTCGTTTCGTGCTCCTCGGAGGCAGGAGGGGGAGGACGGGACGGGGGGCGGAGGAGGCAGCAGGAGCAAAAGGACACTCTCGGCCGGCCGCGTTGCGGCTGATTGGCAGTTGCCTTGCAGGGCCAGGGTGGGGTTCGTCGAACCCCAACAGCCGTCGCCCGCCAGCCGCAAAACAAATTGATGCTGGTGATGATGATGATGATGAGGAGGAGGAGGAGGAGGAGGAGGAGGAGGGCGGACGGAGGACGGAGGACGGAGGAGGGAGGAGGGAGGAGGGAGGAGGGAGGAGGGAGGAGGGAGGAGGGAGGAGGGCCCGTCTGGCGCGCCCCGCCCGGGGCCCTGCTGTTTTGCACTCGAGGGCTTGTCGCCCGTCAGCCGGCGATGCGTCGCCAACGGCAGTCTCGGAGTTTCCCCACCTCTGCGCGCCAGTCCCCTCCCGATGTTGCCCCTCAGCAAGGGGGTGGTATGGGGGGCAGGCTTTGGGGAGCTGTGAGGAGTTATGCTAGAGGCTTCTCAAGCAGTGGCGAAGCGTCCCGGCTCGCCCATAGCCCCACCAAGGCATGTTCCAAGAACCTTTCGTGGTTTGCACGGCATGTTCTTAGAACATTTCTGGTTAGGACTGTCTTGGTTTATCACATCGTGTTTGATTATGTCATAAGAACATTGATTTGTTCTTAGAACATTCTTGGGTTCTAAGAACATTTCGTGGCAGGACTATAGGAATGCTGGGACGGTCGGTCCCTGCTCCAGCTTCGCGCAACCCCACCAGTCCATCCAGAAACGATGTCCAGGCGAGTTGCCGCGATCAGGCAGTGGAGCAACAGGCAGGGGAAGCCGTCGTACCCCAAGAGTGGGAGGATGGAGGAGGACTCGCCATCGGAGGAGGAGGCGGAGGGGAGGGAGAGCTAGAAAAGGGAGGAGGACGAGGAGGAGGAGGAGGAAGAGGAGGAATAGGGGGGGAAAATCAGTCGGAGGAGGAGGAGTAGGAGGCGACCAGAATAGCCAGGGGTCTCTTGGATGCTTCTCGGAGTCTCTTCGGATGTCTCTTGATAGCTTCTTGGAATCCTCTCTGGGTGTTCTGGTGGCCTCTTGGCGTTCCTGGGGCCTCTTGCGGGGCGTCTTGGGTGCCTCAGGGGAGCCTCTTGGGGCCTCTTGGGGGTCTTCGGGAGCCTCTTGGGGACCTCTTAGGGGCCTCTTGGGGCCTCCTGGGCGAGCCTTGGGGGCAATTTTTGAGGATGAGGAGACCGATCAAAGAAGGGCGGGTACTCAATTTGGCCCCCGCCTCCAAGATGTCCAACACCTTAGTCAAACCTTTGATGTTCGCTTTCTAGCCGAGGCCGTCTTGGACGCCCCAATCGTTCGCGAAACGCCCAGTCTAGGTCCATGGGAGGAGTAGAGCCTCTCCCTGAATGGGACAAGGGGGTTGGAAGAGGAAACCCGCTAAACCACTCATGCCCTCAATGGTTGGTGGGATTAGGGGGGGCGAGGAAGGGGCGGCGGGGGCAGAGGGAGAAGAGGGGGAGGATGGAGAGCGAGGAGAGGAGGGGGAGGAGGAGGAGGAGGAGGAGGAGGAGGAGGAGGAGGAGGAGGAGGAGGAGGAGGAGGAGGAGGGTGTAGGAGGGGGGGCGGAAGAGGAGGTGAGGAGGAGGAGGAGGAGGCGGAGGAGGAGGAGGAGGAGGAGGAGGAGGAGGAGGAGGAGGAGGGGGAGGCGGGGGAGGAGGCGGAGGAGGAGGATGGAGGAGGGGGTGAGAGGAGGGGGAGGAGGAGGAGGAGGAGGAGGAGGAGGAGGAGGAGGAGGAGGAGGAGCAGGCGGAGGTTGAGCAGGATATGCAGGAGGAGGAGGAGGAGGATGAGGAGAAGGAGGAGGAGGCAGAGGAGAGGGGATGGGGTGTGTTTTGTCGCCTTCTCCCCAGCGGGCTGTCGCCCCCCCCCTTCTGGGTGCTCCGAACATCCTGGTCGATGGGCTTGCTCTTCTGCCGCGGCGCGCAGACCTCCCGCCGAAATGCCTGCCCCTGGTGGACACCATACATACTTATGACGGGTTTGGTGTCGGGGACGCGGATTGAGGGGAAGTGGTCGGACGGGCTTAGGACGAGGACAAATCTTTTCCAGAGCGTTGCGGGACGCCCTCAGAACGTTCCCAGAGCGTTCCGGAACGCTCTGAGGAAGCATTGATGTGCCCAATTCTTGGCATGCTACAGCGTAGCATGCTCCGTAGATCTAGTCCGGAATCTTCATATTGTTTCGTAGGTTCGACGAGCAATCAGTTTTGGTGGATTCGATTCGATTCCACGAGCATTGTATATTCGATTCCATTCGATTCGATTCAGGTTCGATTCGACGAGGATCGTAGAGTCGATGAGCAATTGTTGACGCTTCGCGTATCCCCACCAGCCCATCCAGAAACGATGCTCAGGGGAGTTGAGGTGATCAGGGAAGTCGGGGAGCATGCAGAATAACAAAGGGCGGGGGAAGCTGTCACAGACCCCGAGAGGGGGAGGATGGAAGAGGAGTCGTCGTCGTCGGCGTCGTCGTCGGAGGAGGAGGAGGAGGAGGAGGAGGGGGAAGAGGAGGAGGAGGAGGAGGAGGAGGAGGACGGAGAAGGAGGAAGAATCGGAGGAGGAGGAGGAGGAGGGGAAGGAGCTTCTTGGGGGTCTTTTGAGGGCCTCTTGGAGGGCTTTTTGGGCGCCTTGGGGCATCTTGGGCGCCTCTTGGGACCCTCTTGAGGCGCTCTGGGGAGCCTTCGGGGCGCTTTTGGGGCCATCTTGGAGGGAGTCGATCAAACAAGAGGGGGGGTTTAATTAGCGCCCCCCCTCGGAAGCCCCTAAAATCGCCTCTTGGACCCCTCTTGGAACGCTCTTGGAGTGCTCTTGGGCGCTCTTGGGGCCGTCTTGGGGCTCTTTTGGGGCTCTCTTGGGGCCCTCTTGGGCCATCTTGGAGCCATCTCCAGGCCTCGGATGGCCATCGGAAGCGAAAAGGCGAGAAAGCAAAAATCATTGATTTTCCTTAGGTTTTGGGACGATTTTGGCCTCTTCGGGGCCTCCTTGGGGAGCTGTTTGGCCACTTGGAGTTATCTTGGGGCCGTCTTTGGGCTTCTTGGAACCATCTTAGGAGCCATCGTGAGCGATCTTGCGCTATCTTGAGCCATCTTGGAGCTCATCTTGGGTTCTCTGAGGCGCTCTTGGAGCCGTCTTGGGCCATCTTGGACGCTCTAACTACCCGCGGCCCCCCCCGTCCAGGTCCAGGGGAGGGGGTAGGGGGAGGGGTAAACCCCTCCCCAAGGGGGAAGAGGGAGGGGTGGAAGAGGATCTGTTCTAGACCACCTACGCCCAGAGGGCTGGTGGGATTCTGTCGTCGATCATCCCCTGCTCGGAGCCAGCGGGGCCAGCCCTTCTCCCGAGGGCAGGGCGAGGGCAGCGGCCTTCCAGGAGGGCGGGGTGGCCGCGCGCCGAGGCGGCGGAGCCCTGCGCCTCCCCGGAAGGCCGCATGCCCCGCCGCAGATCGGGCGGGTGGTGACGGGGGGTGACCCAGGCGGGGTCCTGGAGAGCAAAAGGGGCCCTCCAAGGGGGCTTTTTTGGGGGGCCCCTTCTGGAGCCAGCTCGTGCCCGAAAGCTTTTTTCTCCCCCCTCCACTTGGGCCACTCCCGTTAGCACCCTCCCCCCCCCCGCCCCTTAGCACCCTCCCGAGCAGAGAGTGCCGCGGACGCAGCCGTGCGGTCAGCCGCGGTCGGATGCCATTCTCGGTGGCGAGCCCGGGGGTCAGAGGAGGCAACGGTACCCATGCGGTTGCTTTTTCTTCGTTTTCCCCTCTTTGGACCTCCTGGGCGGCCCTCGTCGCCACCGCTGGATTCGCCTCGAAATTCTGGTCAGAACGTACACCGGAAGAGGTCCGTGGAGTAGCGGTATCGGTACCCTTCGGTTTTCCCACAGGGGGGAAGTGAGAAGGGGCGGGCTTTCTCAGATGGCTCGGAGGTCCCTTGGCCCTCTGAATAGTTTCCTGAGCCTCCTCCGAAGACGCAGGAAGCCTCTCAGAAAAGGACCGAGGCCTTCTGAGAAGCCCCGCCGCGGCCTTCTCATTTTCGCTTCCCCCCCTCGCTCGTTGCTGAGTCATTCGTTGCTCGCTGCCAGACTCTTTTCTCGAAAGACGCGGAGCGCGCCAGTGGAGGGGGCTCTAGCGCCGATTTAATAACTCCGCGCGGACCTCTTAGAACATGCGCTGATGCAGTTTGTGAATGTTATACGTATATAGTGGGAGGCCCCTCGACGTTGACCCACCCACCAGCACCTTTCAACAAAGTAGTGCCTGCAAGGCTTTTGAGTTTCTTCTCTGCCTTGCGGGTCGTCACGACCGATGAGCAGGTCGACCTTACGAAGTTCAAGGGGGGCCTCGTGTTCTCTCAATGTGGTACCATCTATCCTGCAGCATGCCCGTGCCATGATGCCCTTGAAAGAATATTGCGTCCTGTCGTTAGGTATGATTCTGAACACTTCTGTGCCGATGGGATTCGGCTATAGGTGCCGAGGATGTTTCAGGCAACGCCCAGTGGAATCTGTGCGGGATGGGTTGCCCACAGTTCGCACACGGCCTCAACCGCAGGCAAGAGAAGAAAAGATGGCGAGAAGAACAACGGCAAAGACAAGGACATGGATGCCGCAGCCTGTCGATGTCAGGGACATCCGGTGAATCGAGGGAGGCTGACAGAAGGCACAGGGAACAAGGTGCGCCGCATGGATCGGGCTGGACGAAAGGGGGGATTGGGAAAGGGTGGTTTCGGCCCCACCGAGGGGCCCATTCCTCGATACATAGCCGCCTTCCGGCGCCAGGAGGCGCCGTGAAAATCAGCTACGTGAGCTGATTTTCACCCCCCCCTTTTGCTATCCCCCCCTTTCGCCCGACCCGAATGGAGGCTTGCACCAGGTACGCAGCAGTGCCGTGGTGGAGGCGGGCAGGAAGGAGGAGAGGCACTCGAAGCGACCCCAAGGCAGCTCTCGAGCGGCCGCCCAAGAGGCCACAGCAGCCCCAAGAGGGACCTGAGATCCCAGGTGGACGCCCCCATGGCCTTTCACTTGGCATCGCTCGGACGTGTGCATTTTTCCTTCGTCCCGGACCATCGAGGAGCATCCTTGATGATATGGCGAAACAACCATGCACGAAACCGACACATGCACAGGGAATGGACGTCCGAGCGATGCCCAGTTCCACGAGGCCCTGGCGCCGCTTCTCATACATCCCGTCGTGATCCGAAGCATTCCCCAGCCACGCGCACGGGGCTCGCAGCTGCTGCCCCTCGCCGAGCGACGCGGCGTCGCAATCCTCGCGCACGGCGTGCCTCACGCGCCCAGGTGTCGCTGCGCTTGGGCTTGGGCTTCTGCGTCCTCCTCCTCCTCCCCCTCCTCCTCCTCATCCTTCTCCTCCTCGGACTGCTCGTCGCCACGGCTGGCTTCCCGTGCAAGCAAGTGATGGGGCATCCGCGCAGCCCGTGGAAGACGCGGCGGGGCTGCAGTGCGGCAGCAGCGTGGGAAAGGTCCGAGCCCGAGCTGCAGCCAGCGAGCGCCCGGTCCGCGACGGAAAGTCCGCGCTGCGGCAAAGCGACGTCGGAGGGCCTCGTCGTCGTCGTCATCGGAGGCGCCTCCGCCCTGGCTCCGACGCGCGAAGGGGAGGCGTGGAGCGATCCTCCACGCCTCAGCCCGAGCCCCCCCCACGCCCCACCCCAGGCCTTGCCCGGCGTCCAGCGGGGGACGTCGGGTCGGGTCAGCTGGGGGGTGCTCCCAGCACCTCCCATCTGTCCGGCGTCGGCGGGTGAGCATCTCGGGAAGCCCCGTCCTGCACGGGGGGGGGGGGCGGATCCCCAGACCAGCCCGCGGACTGGGGGCGCCCCAGGGCCTGAGCAGCACTTGGCAATAATTACGTTGCTACGTTGCTCGCGGAAGAAAATATCGTTGGGAAAAGGTGGAGCAAGAGGACGCTGGCGATGCAGTTCTCATGGCACGGCGAGAGGAGTCTTCAAGGGCTGGTTGAGTGCGAGATTGAAGTAGCCAATGTACCCTCGATTGTTGCCCGAACATTTGTGGTCTTCACAGGGGAATGGCAGTCAGTGGGGCGTTTGCATCTGCCTCGGTTGTTCACCTCGGCACCGCAGCAGCTTGCTCAGCAAGTCGCCCTTGGCCACAGGACAATGCCAAAGCCAAGAAGAGCAAGAAGCCAGAGAAGAAGCCAGTCAAAAGCAAGGGTAAAGAGAAGGACACGGCGAAGGATAAGGACTGCTTCTTTTGTGCGTAGCGCTCCGTCCTCTTGGCCACGGTGCACGGCTTGTTTGGACAGCGCCTCTTCATCGCAGCCTCCTCAGCGCAGTGCCATTTCATGGCAGGTACTTTGCCGCGCTTTTGATGTGTCATACCTCGAGTTTGTTATGCCTCATCATTGGTCTCTCCACCTCGCCTCGTCGAGGCCTGAATACATGGAACAACCAAACCATACACGGACGCACCAACACTGACGACGCGGACGAGGATTTTGTTTCCGCTTCCGCTGCCTGCAGCACGCGATGATCCCCTTTTTTCGTCATTCTACTCATCCGTCTCCTTCCTCTCCCCTCTGCGGAGGAGGATGATTGAGTAGCACCATGGGGGATAGTTAATCAGGAATAGACGGCGCATGGCGGGCAGAACAGGGAGCGTAGGAAGTCGCAATGGTGAGGACTCAACTTTCAAGTACAGCCTATAGGAGAACAGCCAGGGGAACGCCCTGCTGTCTGAACCTGTGCGTGTTGTTGAGTGGCCCGAACTCTGGTCGGTACAAGCGGAGGCTCCTGTTGCGACGGAGGGCATCCAGCATATTCCAGAGTAGAGCCACCCTCCAGGCGAAGGCGAAGGCGAAGGAGAAGGCGAAGGCGAAGGCGAAGGAGAGGGCGGGCAATGGGGTTCCCATTCCGCGACCCAGTCCATCGAAGTCAAACCATCTGCATAAGCATAAGCTGTCGGAGCTCCTCGCGGATTTCTCGGGGTGGCTGTGGGCCCCCCACGGCGGCGCCTCCCGCGCCGCTCCTGGCGCGCTCCATGCAGCGCGTCGGGCAGGGGCTCTGGCGCAGATCCAACCCTTCCGCGCGGACCTCTCGAAAGTGTGCGTCGTACGTTTGTGCGTGTTCTGCTTCGAGATTGAGGGCCCGTTCCAGAAGCGAGTCCACTCACCCCCCTCCTCAGCCTCCCGAGCTCTCCCTCGTGGCTTCACGCATCGAGGGGGGGTGGACCGAGAGGCAGCGGGATCTGGGGAGGGGGTCGGTCCTCGTTCTACGCGCCAATCCCAGCCCCTCTCCACTTGCCTCCCTCGAGGAATGTTGCTTTGCGTCTTCGGGGGACCTCTCCTGCCTGTAAATTGCGGTCTTCTCGTGAACTCCGACGTGGGTTCGACGCGAATTGGACGTAATTTCGACGTGGATCGACACGGATGCGGCACGGATTCGACTCGTTCGACATGGATTCGATACGGATGCGACATGGATGGTTGGGTATACACCGAATTTGGTCGTGGTCCATGCCGGCCGTCGCCAGTTCGCGAGAATGATCCACAAGTTGGCGATGACCAAGATGGACGATGACCAAGGTCGGTGCCCCCGTCTCCGTTGGCCATTGCCATCGTTTTTGTCTCCCCACTGGACCTGTTGTCGTAGTACAAGTCTCCAGGAGGAGAAGGAGCAGGTCGGCGGCAAGGACAGGGCGGTCTCCTCCCTTCCTCCACATGCGCGCGACGGTAATTCGGATTACCTGGCTAACGCTGTCGCCGTGCGGTATCGAGTCCGAGGAGGAGGTGGCCGGATAGAGCACGGAGCAGTGTCGCGGGCCTTCTCCATCGGGTTCTTGTAGTGCTCGCCTGAAACATTTGTTCGGTGAGTCAAAGATGGGGTCCTGAGGGGGCTGGGATCTCGAGGACGCGGTGCGAGGTTGTTGTTGTTGTTGTTGGTGCTGTTGTTGTTGTTGTTGTTGTTATTGTTGTTGTTGCTGTTGCTGGTGCTGTTGCTGTTGTTGTTGTTGCTGTTGCTGCTGCTGTTGTTGTTGTTGGTGGTGGTGTTGTTGTTGTTGTTGTTGTTGTTGCTGTTGTTGTTGTTGTTGTTGTTGGTGTTGGTGTTGTTGTCGTCGTTGTTGTTGTTGTTGTTGTTGTTGTTGTAGTTGTTGTTGTTGTTGTTGTTGTTGTTGTTGTTGTTGTTGTTGTTGTTGTTGTTGTTCGGCGTCGTCCCCCCGGCGACCCTGCCCACCACCCACCCTCGACTCACCCCGCGACCAGCCCACGACCCACCCGCGACCCACCCGCGACCCACCCGCGACCCACCCGCGACCCTGCCCACCACCCACCCGCAACCCACCCGCGACTCACCCGCGACCCAGCCGCGACCCACCCACGAACTTCCCGCGACCAACCCCGCGACCACCCATTTTGCGTTAACGAAACCGGCACTTGCGGCGGGCCCGATGTACAATTCGTAGCAAGTTAGGCCCTCGCGGCGTTTTTCAAAGCTTCGCAGACCGCAGACGTCCCCGCCGCTCCCTCATTCTTATCCGCTTTTGCGGGGTGCTACGTACTATCGAAGACGCCTACGGCGAATCACCGCCGCCCCCTGCCTTTGTGGAAGCGCCTATGTGGCCGAACGTTGAGGCCAGACCTGCCAAGCCATCGGACCATGTGTTCCCCGAATCGGTTTGGAAAGCCTTCGGGGAACACGTGAGCGTCTTGATGGTCATCGTCGCCGTCTTGGAGGCCTCTTGGGCGATCTTTCGGCGATCTTTGGGGGCTCTTGGGCCGTGTCGGGCCGTCGGAAGGCCGAAAAAAGGGAAATGCCCAAATCCATCAAAAACCTTGGGAAAATCAGTGATTTTGGCATCTTTTGGCCTTCCTGGAGGCCCTCTTGGGGGCCTCTTGGGCCCTTTTGGGCCAGCTTCGAGCCAACTTCGGCCATCTTGGTGGGTTCCTGGCACGTCTGACGCCGTCGGGAGCCGTTTTGGGGGCCTTTCTGGGCCAACGGGGGACCCTCTTGGGGCGCTCCAGGGCCGTCTTGGAGGCCATCTTGGGCGTCTTGGAGGCCATCTTGGGCGTGTTGGAGGCCTCTTGGGCCCTCTTGGGGCCCTCTAGGGGCCATCTTGGAGGCCACTTGGGCCATCATGGGGCTCTCTTGGGGGCCTCTTGGGCGATCTTGGGGGCTTCTTGGGCCGTCTTGAGCCGTCGGAGAGCCGAAAAGGCGCAAATGCCAAAATCCTTCAAAAACCAAGGGAAAATCAATGATTTTGGCCTCTTCGGACTCTCCTGGAGGACCTCTTGGAGGCCTCTTGGGCCGTCTGGGAGGCCTCTGGGGGGCCTCTTGGGCCGTCTTGGGCCGTCTTGGACTCTCTTGGGCCGTTTTGGAGGCCGTCTTGGACCATCTCGGGCGGACTTGGAGGCCATCTTGGGCCATCTTCGCGATTTTTACCTAACAGCGAAGACTGATAGGGTTTCTAGTGGGATCAAAAGAGAGCAGCAGATCACTCCACAGGGGGGTCCGGGCAGGTGTTGGGAGTTGCCGGGCGGCAGGTGCCGGGCTCGTTTTTCACCAACAGTCACACACTTCGTGCTCTTCGACTTCCCAGAACTCCATTCCCAGGCCACATTCTCAATACCCGGATGCAACAGTCACACACTTCGTGCTCTTCGAGATCCCAGAACGCCATTCCCGGGCCACATTTAGAATAACCGGATGCAACAGTCACACACTTCGTGCTCTTCGAGTTCCCAGAACTCCATTCCCGGGCCACATTCTGGAAGGGCCGGATGCAACAGTCACACACTTCGTGCTCTTCGAGTTCCCAGAACTCCATTCCCGGGCCACATTTTGGATGCCCGGAGCCAACTGTAGGCCACTTCGTGCTCTTCGAGTCTTCGAGTCCCAGAACTCCATTCCCGGGCCACATTTTGAATGCCCGGAGCCAACTGTAGGCCACTTCGTGCTCTTCGAGTTCCCAGAACTCCATTCCCGGGCCACATTTTGAATGCCCGTAGCCAACTGTAGGCAACTTCGTGCTCTTCGACTTCCCAGAACTCCCATTCCTGGGCCACATTTTCAGCAGGGGCAAGAGCACGACGAGGAGGAGGACGAGCAAGACCAGGAGGACGAGGACGAGCAGGAGCAGGACGAGGAGCAGGAGGAGCAGGAGAAGAAGGACGAGCAGGAGGAGGAGGAGGACGAGCAGGAGGAGGAGGACGACCAGGAGGAGGAGGACGACCAGGAAGAGGAGGAGGAGGAGGAGGAGGAGGAGGAGGAGGAGGGGAGGGGAGGAGTACCGAGGAGGAGGAGGAGGAGGAGGAGGAGGAGGAGGAAAGAGGAGGAGGAGGAGGAGGAGGAGGAGGAGGACGAGGACGAGGAGGAGGAGGATGGGGGGGGAGAGTACCAGGAGGAGGAGAACGAGGACCACCGGAGGAGGAGGAGGAGGAGGAGGAGGAGGAGGAGGAGGAGGAGGAGGAGAGAACACCAGGAGGAGGAGGACGAGCAAGACGAGGAGGACGAGAACGAGGACGACCAGGAAGAGGAGGAGGAGGAGGAGGAGGGGAGGGGGAGGACTACCAGGAGGAGGAGGAGGAGGAGGAGGAGGAAGAGGAGGAGGAGGACGAGGAGGAGGAGGAGGAGGAGGACGAGGAGGAGGAGGGGGGGGGAGAGCACCAGGAGGAGGAGAACGAGGACCACCAGGAGGAGGAGGAGGAGGAGGAGGAGGAGGAGGAGGAGGAGGAGAGAGCACCAGGAGGAGGAGGACGAGCAAGACGAGGAGGACGAGAACGAGGACGAGCAGGAGGAGAGGAGGAGGAGGAGGAGGAGGAGGAGGAGGAGCAGGAGAAAGAGGAGGAGGAGGAGGAGGCAGGCTGAGGCTGAGGCTGTGACTGCGACTGCCGTTGCCGCTGCGACTGTCATCGCGAATGCGACTACGACTGCGAGAACAGCAGAATTCGACAACTGGATTTTCATCTGAATCTTAAGGGGAATGCTTTCAGATATGCTTCTACACATCGCTGTTAGGTTGCTTTGCCGGGATAATTTGAGGATGTCCCGAGCGAAACGGCCGTTTTTGGGCACGGTGGCGGGACGGGCCGGAGCCCACTAGGGAGTTCTTTTGGAAAAAGAACCAAAACCAAAACCTGAAACATCCAGCACGCCGTGCACCCCTGCAAGCAGGGGGCGGCGGACTACAGGCCTTCGGCCCCTCCCGCCATCGTGCCTGCGTTTTGCGTATGAAGCCTATTGGTTGTTCGGTGGAATATCGTGGGATGCCTCTCAGGGGCCTCTTGGAGACAGTTCGGAGGCCTCTTGGGAGCCCTTGTGGGTCCTCTTAGGGGGGCCTGGGCGCTTCTTGGGGCCTGTTGGGGGCCTCCTGGGGCCGAGCGCTCGGATTGTCGGCTCGTGTTCCCTCTCTGGGGCGCCTTTTGAGGCCGTCTTGGGGCGTTCTTGGGCCGTTTCGGGGGCGCTCTCAGGCCGTCGCGGACATTCCATGATGTTTGCCTCCTGGGGCCCTCCTGGGAGAGGCCACTTGGAGGCTTCTTGGGGCGTCTTGAAGGACTCTTGGGCCATCTTGAGGCCATCTTGGGCGTCTTGGAGCGATCTTTCGTCGACTCGGGTCCACTCCGTGCCCATAGTCGGGGATGGGCAGACCTCCTACCCTGACAAGTCGATTGGCGAATTGGCCGTTTCCAGTTCGCGAGAGGGCGTCGCGGCCGTCATTCTTGCGGGTCCAGGTCCGTTTTGTTTCGGCCCCAGGCCGTTTTCACTAAAGGGAGGTTTACTAAAGGGAGGTTTGTCCACCGCCAGCACAGGCACGGTTGCGGATATGCTCGGCTCGGACGCACGCATCTGAGGATGGCACATAATACCAGTATGTTCTCGTGCGTCCCAGTGGAGGGCACAAGTGGGTGTGGAGAAAAACCAGATGGCCGTAGGTAGACAGGCTAACAGCGATGAAGGCAACAGCGACGTAGGTCTCGGTATTGTAAGTGGGCGTGGCCAAACTCAGTGTCAAGAGAGGCCTGCTCGTGATTTCCTACACTGAGTTCTGCGTGAGTTCGGCGTCGCAAAAACATATTCCCAACATCGCCGTTCACCAACCTCGCCATGAGCGGGGCATTGGGACAGGTCTGCCGCGCCTGCCTCGGCCGCGTCGTGCTGGATCCTACCCCGCATGCTCGCAAGCAGGCCCACATTGACATCCCTGGCCTCTCTGGATGCCAATGAGGGATCATTTGACACAGGCACGCCGAATCACCGATTTCAAGAAAACTTGGGAGCGCATTGGAAGTGGAGTGGAAGACGGACGCCCAGGATCAAAATGAAGGTGTGGGGGAATCCGGAGATGTGTGTCTACCTGCATTTGTGTGTATAAGTGAGTGCGTGTGTATGCTTGTTTTTCTCTGTGTGTGTGTGTGTGTGTGTGTCCCTGGGCGCCTGCAAACGCGCCCTCCCGCGTGGCGACCTCCAGCGAGAGGGGGCCTCTCGCTACCGAGCGGCAGGAGACGTTGGCCTCCTCCGACAAAACACGAGGCCTCCTCCTCCTCCTCCTCCTCCTTCTCCTCGTCCTCCTCCTCCTCCTCCTCCTCCTCCTCCTCCTCCTCCTCCTCCTCCTCCCTCTCCTCCCCCCCCCCCCTCCTCCTCCTCTTCCTACCGAAATCTCCGAGGGCCTCCAGAGGCCGCGTGAAGTCCGAAAAGAGACAACCATCACGTAAAACCACATGGGTATTCGATCGTCGAACCGCCTGTGGTAGAAACGAGGGCGGCTCTCCGCCGGTGGAGGCCAGTGCGGCGGCAGTCAGAGAAGCGCACCAAGAGACGACCTCCTTGGGTTCAGTCGGGCACGCCCTCCCACAGGAGGAATATTCAAAAATAGTAACATAGTTCGGGGACGATGTTTTGATCATTGTTTGACCTTTTGGTTTGGACATTTTTGAGTATTTTTAATTTTTCGCCCCAAATCCCCCTGTAAGGGACAGGCCCCACCAAGTTCTTGGGGTGGGGGGGGGGGGCAGGACTGCCAGAGCGGGGGGTGCACATCTGGAGCAAAGGCCAGGGGGGCCACAAAGACAAACTTATGGCACTCCGTGCGGATTTCTTGAATCCGCTGGGCCCCCCCCTGGCGGCGCCTCTGGCGCCGCCCCTGGCGCGCTCCGCGCGCCGGGGCGGGGGGGCCCCGCGCGGATCCAAGAAGTCCGCGCGGAGCGCCAAAAGTTTATTTTCATGGCGTTGTTTGTTTCTTCTTATTCGTAAGTTTCTTCTTGTCCTCTTCTACAAAGACAAGGGGGAATAGGCTCTCGGATGGATGCATCGACCCCCGATCGCCCTCCGATCGCCGATGGGGGGCCAGATAGCCCGCCCTCCTCAGACCCCCTATTCTCCGAGCCGTGCGGACTGGTTTTCGGGGGCCTGTCTCCGATCTCTCGGAGACGGTATCGCTGATTCCAGGTCGACGTATCCCCTCCCGAGCCGGTCCCCCCTGACGCTGCCCATCATCGCAGCGTCCTTCCGATCCGTTCTCCCGCCGCCCTCGTCCGGCTTGCAGCCTCCAGCCTTCAGCCAGGAAGACCCTCGCGCGAGGCAGAGTTCTGCAGGGTGTGGGCAGGTCACGGCCTCGCGCGCCTTGCCCAAACCAGGCCCAGGCGCACGCTCTTCGCAGCACGCGCCTGCACCGGCGCCTCGCCCGCTCGCCCTCCCTCTCCCAGCCCCCGCCCTTCTCCTCCCTCCGCCCTTCCCGGTTGCTCCGCGTGGCGGCCGGAGGGCGCAGCCGAGGGCCGCAAGGGACGTCCTTCCCTGACTGCGACAGGGAGGGATCGCCCCGATCGAGTCCAGTCCTTCCTGCCATCCCCCCCTTTCCCCTCCCACCTTGCCCTCCCTTGCCCCCTCCCCCTCTGTCTGCCCCCCTTTCCAGGGTCCATTTCGATCCGATCGGTCCGATTCGGTATCGGCTCTGGTTGGCCCGATGCCTGCTTGGCGCTGTTGTTCATCCTGTCGCCGACGATCGGATTAGGTACCGAGTCCGAGCCGATGCCGTCCGATTCGATGCACGTTCCGACCCGTTCCGATATCCCGATTCGTTGCTGATCGTTTTCGCCTTCCTCCCGTGCCTCGTCCATCCCCCCCCCTTCTTGGCGGTGGTTGGTTGGTCGCAGAGCAGGGCGCGACACAAACACTGCCGAGACTGCTCTTGAGCCTCGAGCTCCACGCTCGTAGCTCCCCTCACCGGGGGGGGGAGCCCAGGCGGCGCTGGGGAGCATGACGCTTCCTCCTGCCGAGTCGACCCGATCCCCCCTCAGGCCCGTCCTCCTCCTCCTCCTCCTCCTCCTCCACCTCCTCCTCTCTCTTTCGCTCGTCTCCTCCTCCTCCTCCTCCTCCTCCTCCTCCTCCTCCTCCTCCTCCTCCTCCTCCTCCTCCTCCTCCTCCTCCTCCTCCTCCTCCCCCTCCCCCCCGGACGCTGGGCCGAGGAGAAGGAGAAGGAGAAGGAGAGGGCCCGCCAGCGAAGCCGGTCGGGCCCCCCCCTGGCCGCGGGCCTCTCCGCGGCTGCCAGGGTTCGGTCGAGTCGGGCCCGGCCCTTTTGCAGGAGGAGTGCTTCACACCAGTCAAACAGCAGTCGGGGGACGGGGGGAAGACGACGGTTCGATCATTTGAGGGTCCTCTTGGATAGTTTTGTTTCCTGTTTTTTTTTGTGCCTCCGAAGTCCGCGTGTACAGTCGGGGCGCTGAAGAAGGAACCCTTTTCGTTGGGGAGGGGCTCCGCGTTCCTTAAGTGTTTCACAGCTTGCCGCAGGTTTCCCTTAGGTTTCCGATAGGAAATCGAAGTTCAGTTTATGGAAAAGAGGGGCCTCGTTCCTTATTTGGGGTTCCTTAGGTCAACGCCCCGACTGTAGGAGGATATGCCCGACCTAACTGCCAGGGCGATCCCTCGCGGGCGTGCGCCGGCTGCTGCCCTGCCCCGATCCGCGGCCTCGCGGGCGGGGCCCCCGGTCCGCGACCCTTCTCGGGGCATGGGCTCCTGGCGTTGCGTTTCTGTTCGTTCCAGGCGTCGTGGTTCTTCGACTACTCGTAAGAGTGACCTTTCGCCGGAGTGACCTTTGGTGCGGGCTCATCGGGCTCCCCACGATCGCCGAGCGCGATGCGATATAAGCGGCCCGCGCCCTTGGATTTTGGTTCCCTCGCGCCCCCAAAAGCTGCGCACCAAAGGTCACTCTTACCCAGGGTCACTCTTACGCCTAGCCGAGTTTTTGCTGGGGGGAGGGAAGGCCCGGGGCCCTCACATCTCGATCCGGCTCGAAGGATGACAGGATCATGGGGTTTGAGGTTCCGGGCGTTTAATCTTGCATGTTCTATGTTTTCGGCGTGTCGGATCTCAGGGTCAACGCAAACCGGGGTCAGTCAGTAAGCGCGGGATCTTGCAGGATCCTGCAGGGGCGCATGGACCCCGGCTTGCGTGCAGGATCTTGCAGGATATTGCAGGATTCTGCAGGGCCCGACTGACCCGGGTCTGAATTGAGCGGGGTCAGTTGAGCCCTGACCCGCGGATGCGGAAGGTTGTTTCGCGAATGTTTCGCGCGGACCGTTCTTTCAACGGAGGGAGGCACTGATACCGCCACCTTTTCCTCGCTTTCGCGTCTGTGGGCCTCCTGAGAGGCCTTCGTCGCCACCCCCTGATTCGCCTCGACATTCTGCTCAGAACGCACCCCCAGGAGTCCAGGAGAGTTCCCGTGAGTAGCGATATCGGCACATGCTTGCTCCGCCAGTATCCGTGCGACCGCGCATCCACGGGACTGCGCCCTGGTTTCCAGACCGCGAGGGCACCGATACGGTCATGTGCGCCGCCCGTGCGTCCCTTCCTGTTACGGTTTCGGTCTGCGCGCAGACGGCCTCAACAGGCCCCCCGAGCCACCCGTGGCGATCTCAACACACCAGCGGCGCCACCGGCGGCGGCGCCCCTGGCGCGCTCCGCGCCACAGGTCGAAGAACAACAAAAACGTCACAAAAAAAAGTCTTGGCCTTCCGCGCGGATTTCTTGGATCCGCGCTGGGCCCCCCTGGCGGCGCCTCTGGCGCCGCTCCTGGCATGCTCCGCGCGCCCGGACATTTAAAATTGTTGACGCTCCGCGGATCCCCACCAACATATGCACGCTGGCAGCTCGACTCAGTTCAGTCACCCCTGCCACTCGCCCGCCGCTGTGCCGCCGCGTGAGGCTAGCTGCGTTAGACGTGGCCTGCCCCCGCTGCCTTCGCTTAATTCGTCTCTGCGTAGCCCGCTTTGACCTGACTCGCCGCGAGCGCGGCCGCTGACTAAAAAGAATCCCCACCAGCCCATCCAGAAACGATGCCTAGAGGAATTGCCTCGATCAGGGAAGTGGGCAGCACACAGAGGAAGCCATTATGAGACATCTTGGGATATCTTGAGCCATCTTGGAGATCATCTTGGGCTCTCCCAGGCGCTCATGGAGACATCTTAATCAGTGCCCCCCCCCCCAAGAGGCCAACATGTGGCTAAAACCTTCGTGCAATCAATGATGTTCCATTCTCGCCGAGGCCTCTTGGAGCATCTTGGGTGCCTCTGGGGGGTCTCTTGGGGCCTCTTGGGGGTCTCTGGGGAGGGGGTAGGGGGAGGGGTAAACCCCTCCCCGAAGGGGAAGAAGGAGGGGTGGAAGAGGAGACTCCCTAAAACACCGACGCCCAGAGTGCTGGTGTGATTTTACGCATACACGGTTTTTTCTCACTCCAGTAGGGTTGGGGTGTTGAGACCGCCCCAGATTGTTCAGGTGGCTTGTTGAGGCCAGCTGGGTCTAGTCAGGGGGCCTGTTCAGGTCAGCTGGGACAACCTGGAGGGAGTGTCATCAGGAAGGAAAAACACAGACACAATCCCTCCAGCCCTCTGGGCGTCGATGGTTTAGAGCGTTTCCTCTTCCACCCCTCCTTCTTCCCCTTCTGGGAGGGGTTTACCCCTCCCCCTCCCCTGGACCTGGAGGGGGGGGGGGGCGCGAGGTGTCAGGGGGTCCAAAACGGCCTCGGCGAGGAAGCCAAAATCATTCGGTTCACCATGGTTTTGGCACCATTTTGGCCTCCTGGGGGGAGGGGGTGCGCTAATTGAACACCCCCCCTCCTGTGATCGATCTCACCCAAGATGGCCCAAAAACGGTCCCCAAGGGTGCCCCGAGAGGGCCCCAAGAGGTGGCCAGGAGGCCCCAAGAGGCCCCTTGGAGGCCCCCAAGAGACCCCCAAGAGGCCCCAAGAGACCCCCCAGAGGCACCCAAGATGCTCCAAGAGGCCTTGGCGAGAATGCAACATCATTGATTTCACGAAGGTTTTAGCCACACCAAGAGTGCCTTGGAGAGCCCGACATGACCTCCAAGATGGCTCAAGGCATCCCAAGATGGCATCCCATAATGGCCCACTTCCCTGATCGAGGCAATTCCTCTGGGCATCGTTTCTGGATGGGCTGGTGGGGATTCTTTTTTTTTCCGCGGGCGGACGCGGATTCGCAGTCGCCGAGCTGAGAGGTCCGGGCCACGGGTCTGTCAAATTAGCAACGCGCAAGCCTAAAAGCACAGCGGCCGAGCCCGCACTCAGAACCTACCGCCGGTGGGGCCGCGGGCTGATGGCTGGTGGGGATTCGCGAAGCGTCAACAATTATTTGACGACTCCCAATATAATATGGGAAACTATGGGAAGTGGGTGGGAAACGAAACCCCAGAACATTTTGAAGCATTCATCGGGAATCGGGGAGTTTGTGCATTTATTTGTGTGTCCCTGGGCCCCTTCATGTCAGTGCGCATCCCGAAGCCATGCCATCCCTTCCTCGTTTCTCAGGCCGCATCGAGTCGTGACAAAAGCCATGGCGTCACGTCGTCTACACAATTGGCTTTCAACGGGTTCCGTGACCGTCAACAAAAGCAGCTCGGGACGACAGATTTCGGCGACGAGCGAGGGGGGGAGTGAGAGGGAGAGGGCCTTCTCAGAAGGCGGCAGGACTCTGCAGATCCCTTGGGCCTTCGAGAAGCTTTTTCTCCCTTCGGGGAAGGCTTAGGAATCTTCTCGGAAGGTCGGGGTACTTCTGAACCTTCTGAGAAGGCATTATTTCTACTTCTCCTTTCCCTCCCTCGCTCGCCGCCGATTTCCACAATCGGCTTTCAACGGGTTCCGCGACCGTCAACAGAAGCAGTTCGGGACGACTAGTTGGGCCCAGGGAGCGGGTCGGGATCTCCGTGCTGAGAAGAAGTCATCACGTAGGGGGTCTGGATTCTACTTCTCAGATGAGGGAAGAGACCGATGCCACTACCATTCCCTCGATTTCGTCTCTGTGGGCCTCTTTGAGGCCCTCATGCGCACGGCGAAATTCTAGTCACCGAGCACCCCGCCCGCGAGGTGCCTGGGCAGTGGCAGTACATCTCGAGTTTCGCTCGTCCCTCCATCCTCCTCTTCGACTGGGCCAGGCTGCCGATCTCCATGTCCGTCCCCCTGACAGGCCCCAGCTTGCTCCTGTTCGACTGCCCTCAGGACGCGTGTGTCAGCCCAGTGCGTGTTCCGCCGACCGCACGCAACCCGTGTCTGCCCTAATTCTCAAGCCCGCGTCGCATTGAAGGGCCTTGGTCTTGGCATCGTTCGGACGTGTGCATTTTTTCTCGGTGAGGACCATCGAGGAGTTACTCGACCATCGGGCGACAAGAACACGCACGGAACCGAAACATGCATGGGGAATGAGCGTTCGAGCGATGGCGAGTGGCGGAGAACACACACGCTCACGCTAACACACGTCCTGAGGATCATCGAACGGTGCCCTGCCCGCTTCCTCGACTGGCCCTGCCCCCGAGGTGTCTTAGCACTGTGCCTGGGCCGCCGCGGGATCGTCAAATGCGGAAGCCCCATTGGCCGTTCCCGAGGTTTTCCCGTCCTCGGCCCGTCGCCGCAATATTTGGCCCTTTTCCCCGACTGCCAGGTGCTTCCATCTTCCACTTCCGTGTCCTTCCCCGCCACGTGCGCCCCTTGTGCTCCCACCTGTTTCCGTGTCTGCTGCTATGCCTGCTCCATTTGCCGGTCGTTTGAGCGTGCCTCCATTGCTTCCACCGAGTTGCTTTCTTGGGCCCTCCTATACTGTGTCAAGTCATCGGGCGCCCGTGACGTGCCGTTTGGCCTGGAGCACATCTTCATCGCTCAAATGTGCAATACGCCCAGGAGTGTCGCATCCAAACGATAGGAAATCGTCCCTGGGGGCATTCGGAGCTTTGCGCCCCAGCCGGTTGCGAGATTTGCATCTGGAAGGTTTCAGTGCCCCATATTCCCCCATTCCTCCATATCGCTCCAATTGCCTTCCTGGCCCCGAGCAGCATTCCGAGGAAAAGGGTTACAGTACAGGTCTCTTTTGCAAAGCCCGTGCGGTCAGTTTTCTTGGGCATCTCGGACGACGAGGATCAGTGGCCTATTTGCTCACCCTCTCTGCCTTTGGGCGGCGGCCTTTGGGACGCGGCTCGGAAGACCGTCTGAGAGGTGCTTGGTCAGGAGGGGCCCGTCTACCGCTGTCACATTCGATTGGTCCGGGCCAGGCCACACGCCGCAGCTGGCGGCCTCTCTGTCTGCGCAGCTCCGGCTCAGGTCTCGGGCCAGGCCGCCTGGCCCCTCTTGCTGCCCCCCTCCTCGTCCCTCTCCCCGGGACCCTGCCGCCCCCGTCGCCCCCTGCTGCTGCGCACCCGCCTCGCGGATCGCTCCGTGGTGTTGACACCGCTGCTAGCCACTACCACTACCTATTCGGCTGCAACTCTTGGGATGTCAAATTCTGATTCTGCCCTGGTCCGAAATCCGGCTTCATCCTCTTTAATCCCGACTAATCCCGCCTAGTCCGGCTTCATCCCGTTCAGTCCGCGGCCTAGTCCGGCGTAGCGGCCCCCCAATGCGGCCCAATCTTTTCTGATGCTTCCGACGAAGACCTCCCAGCAGTTGCCTCCTCATACATGGCTACAGTGCACCTGCAGGAGCCAGAGAGGGAACTCCGGAACTCCCACCTCCACCAATCCTGACCTCATCCTCCATCCGTCCCCGTCCCCCCTCCCTGTTTTCCTCCCCGCTCTCCTCCAAATCGGCCGCGCCGCCGCCCTCGTCGTCCTCCCCCCCCTCGCCCTCCCCCCCGGCTCCTCGACGCCCCTCCCCCCCCCTTCCGAGATTACCCACCCCTCGAGCTGCTGCCCTCGTCCTGGACGGACCTCCTTCTGCCCGCCCTCCCCTCCCCTCCCCTGCTCTCCCTCCTCGCTCCGAGCTCTAGGCCCCGGCGAGTTTGCTCCGCGAGGCCAGCCCCCCTTCTCTCGCAGAGACCTGCACCTGCGCCCCATTGCGCCCATCTGTCGGATGTCCGCCATCCGCCACCGCGTGTCTGACAAGCACACGTTCTGTGTATCAGTCGTTAGGCCGTACGGCCACTGCCGCCGACCCTGAAAGAGCCCTGAGGGTGATTGTTAGAGCTCTCGGCTATTACGCACGTCCGCGGTTGGAGAACAAATCGGCGCAATGGGATCGGATGTCAGATATCAGAACGTGTGAGCGTGCCCAGCTTGCCCCCTCCTAGCCCCTCTCCTGCTCGTGGCTCCCCCCCTGTCCCTCCGCTGTCCCCCCTTCCCCGCCCTACCGCCGGATGCGTCCCCGCGGCGCATGGCCGACGCCGGCGATGGCGACGCGGCGGAGTACCCGCCGGCCACGCCGGCCACCTTCGGCCCCGCGGGCTTCGAGGAATACCCGCCGGCCGCTCCGGCCAGCTTCGGGCCCGCGGGCGGCTGGGGGCAGCCCGCGTTCGGCTCGGCGGGCGCGTGGGCTGCGCAGGCTGCGCTGCAGCAGCAGATGGCGGCGCAGCAGCAGCAGCAGCTCGGAGGGCGCCCGCCAGACGCAGCGGAGGGCCGTGTGCGGCACCGGCAGTGGGCCTCCCCGGGGGCCCGCTCGTCGCCACGGCTGGACGCAGCTTGGAAAACTTGGCGCGCTTGGTGCCCACGTTCGGATGCAACTCCTGGGAGGTCAAATTCTGATTTTGCCCTGGTCCGAAATCCGGCTTAATCCCGCTTAATCTGGCTCAATCCCACTTATTAATCCGAGGCCCACTCCGGCGTAACAGCTTCCAAATGGGGCTTAATCCTCTTTGATCTTTCCGACGTGAACCTCCCAGTAGTTGCCTCCTAGCCCAGGAGGGGTCCGGGGGCCGAGCTTCAGCCGATCCCGAGTTTCCAGCGTCTCATCTCGCCCTTCTGCGACAGCCCCCCACGCGCCGGTCCTTTCCAGGACCACCCGTGAGGGGCCCGTGCGTGCGCCTTCGGCCCAAGCCAGGAGGGCGTATACACCGATCCCGCGCTCAGGATTGGCCTGGCCAGGATCGGGGCACCAGGGGCAACCATAGGGGGGGAGTATAGCTTCATGGGGGGGATGCATCAGCTCCCAATCGCCCATTCATCGCCGATAGAGGCCTGATGGCCCACCCCGCCCAGGAGCGTTCGGTTTTGCCGTCGGGGGCCTGTCGCCGATCTGTCGGCGATGTGTCGCCGATTCCAGCTCGACGGTTCCCTCCCTTGGCATGCCCCCCCCCGATCTCGAAGGAGAAACGGCGGCGTAGACAGAAACTTTCTCGGAGGTCTGCGCGGAGCTCCGAGAGTGTATGTTTCTGTTGCTTCAGGAGGGAAAAAACACACACAGACACAATTAATCGTTGATTCCCGAGAAAATATGGGAAGATATTGGAAGTGGGGGGGAAGACAGAAACCCAGAAAATATTTGAATAAATGGGGGATCTGGTTCTTTGTGTGTATTTATTTGTGTGTCCCAGGGCCCCTTGATTGTTGTTCGTCTTCTCCTATCGTTCCCCCTCAGTGCAGGAGTCTTGTGGATGCCACCCCCAGAAGTTCCATTCTGCATCACCGCTGGTACAATCGCGGTCGACAACGGGCCCAGTCCGGCACAGTCCCGCTCACTTCTGCTTGATCTGGTCCATGCTGGCTTAACCACTGGCCCCGTCCAGACCAGTCCAGCTTAGTGGCGTATTGACGGGGCCGAGCAGCCCCGTGATCGGATCGGTCCACGACGAAGACCTCCCGGGAGTTGCCTCCGAGGAGTCGAGCTTGCGCTCTCCGAACGGCAGTACGTCGCCCAGGCATGGGCCCAGCACCACCAGCAGCAGGCTTGGGCCGCGGCCCTCGCGCAGCAGCAGCAGGGCGCGGCCCTCGCGCAGCAGCAGCAGGAGGCCGCCGAACCTCTGCGGGCGCTGCTGCAGGACCTCGACGTCCAGCCCGAGGAGGACCCGCGGCGGGGCGTAATAAAACACGCCCCGACCTTGGTTTACGAGGCGCTGTGCGCTGAACCTCCTGTGGGCTGACAGGGTAAAGCAGGCATGCCACGCAGCGTCGTGGCGGGCTCCATGGCTTCTGGGGAGCTCCCGAGAGGTTAACGGGCCACGAGCTTGCAACACTGGGTGGGGGCGTTTCTTCCATCCCTCAAATTGAAGCTCACGCATCGTCGTAGCATGCATTATGAGGCATGGTCATAAGGAGGCCTCGGCATGCCACTGCTAATGCCTAGGCATCCGCATGGGTGTGTCTAGGCCTATGCATGCATTGAGAGATGCGTCCATGAACGCAGCAAGACGTATCTGCGCGTAGTTGGGCGTAGCAGATGCCCAGGCATCGAAGTGGCCATGCCTAGGTATCGGCAGGACGGTCCGCAAGGTTGGCATCGATGGTTCAAGGTACCAGAGCCAGTGGCCAGTTCTAACCTTCCTGCCAGGCGGTCGATATGGATTCATTCGGGCCCGCTGGGGCAAAAAAACATGCATATCCACCGCCCCCTGGTGTCCAAGGACGAAGGTTTTACACGCGATGTATACGGATCGATTCTCGCCTCGCAGAGGAGGCGTCCTTCCGCTGGCTCGCAGAGTACGCCCTGAGCGACGGTGCGCTCCCTCCGCCCTGGGAGGCACACACGGACCCCGCGTCTGGCCGCGTGTTCTACGTGGAGCCCGGCGGCGAGGAGAGCAGCTGGGAGCACCCGCTGGCGCCGCAGTTGCGCCGCATCGTGGAGATCGGGCGCGAGATTCTGGAGAATCCGCGCGAGGTCAGTTTCTTTTGACCCGTTCTTATGCCCATCCCATCCGCATCCCTATCTGGAACCCCACCATCCCACCGCCCCAGTTGGGGGTATGCCCCTCGAAACTCGAAGGGGGCAGCTCATATCCTCATCAAGGGGGGTACACCGGCCAGTGGGGCCAAGGCCGCGCCAATGGGAGCAGGGATCGGTTAAACGATGCCCACGAGGGGCTGCTGGAGGAGGCAAAGGCCGCGCTCTGGCACGAGCAGAAGGATCGAGCGAGAAAAGGCGGCGGGACCACAAACCCCCGGAGCTCCGCGCGGGCTTGCTCGGATCGGCCGGGGGCCTCCAGGGCGGCGACGCGCGCCGCCCCTGGCGCCCTCCGCGCGCCAGGGGCTGGAGGCCAAGCGCAGCTCCGAGGAATCCGCGCGGACCTCCGAATGCGTGTGGTTCGGCTGTTTCGGGATCGCTTGGCCGCGCGCCCTGGCGCGCCCGAGTAGTTCGGCGCGCGGCCGGGCTTGGCGCGCGCGCGGGCGCGCGTGCCCCACCCCGTCCTCAGGGCTCGCCCTGTGCGCGTATGAGAACAAGTGTGAATCTGCTGTTTCAGTTTGTCTCATCAGAGGAGGAGCTGAACTGCTGGCACGGGCCGTACCAGAGGAACAGCGGCGACGGCCAGTACTTCGTCAACTCGACCACGGGCGCCTCCTCGCCGTTCGACCCCCGGGAGCGGGCACAGTTCGCCTACGAGAGCCAGACCAACCTCCTGGACCACATGCAGAAGGTGCTCACGGAACAGGACGTGCATGCCGCCTCCCCCCGCTTCGGATCCCCACGCTTCGGCCAGCCGCGTGCTCCCGCCGCCTCTGGGTCAACGCGGCCGGGCAGCTCGGGCGGACGACCGACCTCCGCTTGCTCGTTCGCGGTCTCGTTTGCGAGCCCTCGCGGCTCCACCGCCGCCAGCCGCGCTAGCGGCCTCCACGCGGCGTCCTTCGACGGCACGCCAGCGCTGCCGGTGTTCGGCTCGCCCGCCACGCCAGAGCTGCAGCCCCCCGCGACCAGCTCGACGTCATGCTCGGCGACGGGCTCGTCGGCCAGCAAGCGGCGCGCCGCGGCCAACAGGGCCGCCCGGGCGGCGACGCAGGCGCCGCAGGGCGAGCGCACCGACGCGCTCTCGAGCATGCGTGCGAAGGCCGTGCACCTCTTCACCGTGTGCCTCGAGGAGGAGGATCCGAGGGCGGATTTGGTTCTCCATAACCACCGCCTGGGGGAGGATCGATCTTCGGGCGCCGCGGCAGGCGGTGGATCACGGACACACTCGGGCCCCCCTCTGGTCAGAATCTGTCCCTGCCCACTGCCCTCCGGGGCCCAGCGCCTCACTCCCCCGGGCGGCGGACGTGGACATCTCCCCGCCTCGCACCAGGAGGTGCAGCGGCTGCAGCTTGCGAGGAAGCAGGCGGCGCGGCAGGCGCGCCTGGCGCAGCGGCCCGCCCCACTGCGCCCCGCGGCGCCGCAGCCGGCCGCGCCCGCCACCCTGCCGCCGCTCCGCGGCCCGGGTGCCGCCAGGGGCGCGTTGGAACCAGGGCCGCCGCTGCCGCCCGCGTTGCCCAGCCTTGGGGGCGGCCAGGGCCGCTGCTCCCTGGCGCCCGCTTCCCCGCGCGCCCCGCCGCGAAATCCCGCGGTCGCCGCGGGAGCGGCGGCGGCGGGGGCGGGGCTGCCGCCGTCGCCCGCGCTGCCGCCGCCGCCGTCGCTGCCTCCGCCGCCGTGAGCCGGCGGGGAGATGGGCTCAGGGGGGCCGTCGTCGTCGGTCCTCGGCGGTGTTCGGCGGTGCTCGTTGGTTCTCGGCCGTTTCCAGCCGCGGGTCGCTCTCCAGCGCTTGCGCCTCGCCCAAAGCGTTGCTGGGGGTGTCGGGACCGTCCCAAACGGCCGCCTGAGGCCAGAGTTATGGCCCGAGAACCGGCCCCACGTGCAGAGGCGGGTGGGGGGAGGGGGGAAGCCTTCCCAGAAGCACCCCTGCTTCTCAGAAGGCGCGGGCCTTGTCTGTAGACGCGTAGGGCCGATGCCCTCTAAGAAGCAGTCATCTCATAAGAAGCATTTGCCCCTCCCCCTACCCCCCTGTGCGCGCCGCCGAGGTCGTGAGCCTTGAGACGGGGATCAGACAGGGCGCCAGATCTTGCGGATCCTGCAAAGCCAGGGCTGCACTGACCCGGGTTAGGGCGCAGGATCTTGCAGGATTTTGCCGGATCCTACAACGCTTGACTGACACGGGTTTGCATTGACCCGGGTCAGTAGTTAGATCCTTGAAGGGGGGATGCATCGACCTCTATAGTCGCCCATTGGTCGCCGAGAGGCACCCGATATCCTATAGCCCGCCCAGCCTAGGAACGTGTGGTTTCGCCATCTGCGGCCCGTCGCCGGTTCCAAGTCGATGTTCCCCCCTGGTGCGTGGGACAGCTGCCTCCCGGAGTCGCTCTGCATAGCTCCTGCCACACTCGGACCACCTTCGCCGCCGCCTGCGGAAGTGAGAAGGGAAATAGAGGGAAAGTTCGGGAGCGGAAAAGAGGGGGGTGATGACTAGGGGGGGGTGGATTTCATGGCGCGGGCCATGATTTTTCCTCATATTTCATGGCGCCTCTTCTTATTTCATTACGTCCCTGGCCCCCCCGCTGGGCCGCGCACATGCCGCCGGTCATGATTTGCACCCCCCCTCTTGGACACCCCCCTCTTGGCCGCTCCCGAAAAGTGGGGAGGGATGGAGTGGGTCGCCCTCTCTGCTTCCCTTCCTTCCTGCCCATCATTGTTCCATCCCACCAAACCTCTGTCCCACTCCACTCCTGCACTCTCCCTTCCTGTCTATATTCTGAGGGCCCACTAACGTCTGCACGTTCAAGCGGCACACTTCCGACAGAGGTACATGAGGGAAATCCTGAAGTCCTCGCCCGGCGCGCAATACTTGTCAGAGTGAGGGGACCAAGCTGTCATTCATTGTCCACGCGGGCGCGTGGCTGAAGTGAGGTTCCGCGGTGCGGATTGTTGTTGTTGTTGTTGTTGTTGTTGTTGGTGGTGGTGGTGTTGTTGTTGCTGTTGTTGGTGTTGTTTTGTTGTTATTGTTGTTGCTGGTGTTGGTGATATGTTTGGTTTTGTTGCTGTTGGTGTTGTTGTTGTTGTTGATGATGCTGCTGGTATTGTTGGTAGTGTTGCTATTGTTGCTATTGCTGAACTTCAACGATTGAAGAATGATTGTTGTTGACCCCCCCTCAGGATCCCCCTCAGGGCCTCTCAGGTAACCCCCTCTTGCCTGAGATTTCTGGGCGAGTTGTGCAGGACTCACGCATTCGCGTAGCAAAAGTGTGAAGTACCCCTCCCAGGGCTCGCTGTGTTTTTACCAGGGCCAAATCTTCCTCCTCAAACTATGGCCCTGGCCCCCAGTTTACAACAACAACAACAATCATTTAAGACTGGGGACACTCCGTTCTCACCAGTGCCAGGGTTTTCATAGGAGGCGGGCAATACCCCCACTTTGTGGGGGGGCCGGTTCAAGCTCTACCAAATTTCCAACGACTCTTCGCCACCACCCACACCCAGCTTCCCGCCCTATGACGTTCGGACACTTCACTTCGTGGCATGCGGACGACCGTGGCTACTATTCAGGGCCCCGCGGCCGACGACGACGGCGTGCGCGCGCGAAGAAAAAACGAATGTGTCCAATATGGTATTATTTGACAGGGATGATGGCCCTGGCATGCGCGCAACCGTTGTTGCAGAAGTTCGAAGCACGTGAAAAAGTTGCTCGCAAGAGCCCGTTTGACAGAAATGTTGAACAAATATTGGGTTTCCTCAGAAATCCGCAAGAGCGCGCAAGATGATTTTTTGAAACTTTTTTTTTGAAAAACCATTGGGTTTTTCATGTTTTTATGTTAAAATCGCTACGAAAACTAAGGTTTTGGAAGGATTTCATCTTGCGCGCGCGAGTGTGCACTTCGTGTCATTTTTTCAAAGGATTCTTGAAGTTTGGTGATGTTAGAACAAGAAATTTCATTTTATAGTGTTTTTTGCAAGGGAAAACAGGGGACAACAAAACAACCGGATCCGGACACCCACGTTTTGCCTGAGACTTCCTCACGAAACTGATGAAAATGTGGCTGCGGCCTAGGCGCGGCGAGGGGGCCGCGCACCAGGGGTCCCAACAATAATTATTCTTTAGAATATATAATGTTCAACAACAGCAACGGCTCCCGCCTGATACTTTCTTGCAGTGTATTGAAGAATCGTGCTTTCGCTAGGGGCTTCCTTGCAACTATAGAAGAATCGCGATTTCGACACTCTGGAATCGCGCTGTCGTTTTGGACTTCCTCACAATTTACTCTGGCGTCGCGCCCTCGGCGCGCAGGAATCACGCTCTCGCTCTCGATTTCCTCACGCGATTTATGTGGGAATCGCGCTGTCGCTGAAGGCTTCCCCGCGATTCATGCAGGATGCACGCTTCAGCAACCCACCTGCTCGACCTGGCCGCCTGGGCCTCTCTCTTTCTCCCGCTGTCCCCCCATTCCACTGTCCTCTCTTCCCTTGCCTTAGGTGCTTCACGGAGTACGCGTTGCAGGTAAGAAAGATGTACCCCTAAAGGGGTACGATCGAAAGCGAAGAGGGTGGGTATAGAGGGTTTGGAATGTACATGTTGAATGGCACGCGAACGACAAAGAGCACGCGGTCCTAACATTATTGTGGTTGTTGTTGTTAGCGTTGCTTGTGTTGTTGCTGTTGAGGTTGCTGTCGACGTTGGTGTTGGTGGTGTTGTTGGTGTTGTAGTTGGTATTGTCGGTGGTGGTGTTGTTCATGCTGATGTGATGTATGTTGTTATTGCTGCTGCTGCTCTGTTGTTGTTGTTGATGTTGTCGTTGCTGTTGCTGTTGTTGTTGCTGTTGTTGTTGCTGGTGTTGTTGGTGGTGGTGGGGGTGTTGGTGCTGTTGTTGTTGTTGTTGTTGTTGTTGATGTTGATGTTATCGTTGTCGTCGTCGTCGTCTGTGTCGTTGTTGTTGTTGTTGGTGTTGCTGTTATTGTTGTTGCTGCTGTCTCCATTGTTGTTGTTGTTGTTGTTGTTGTTGTTGTTGTTGTTGGTGTTGCTGTTGTTGGCAGCAGCAACGGTTCCCGCACGATACTTCCTCCTAATGTATTCCGGCATCGCGCTCTGGCGCGGTATATCCTCCCAGTGTACGCAGGCATCGCGCTCTCGCGTGGGGCTTCCTTGCAATTGACTCAGACGCCGCGCCCTCGAGACTCTGGAATCACGTGTTCGCTTCGGCCTCTCACGGCTTATGTGAGAATTTCTCGCTATTGGTCGAGGTCTCCTCGCGATGAATTCAGTATTCACGCCTCAGCAACACGCCTCCTCGACCTGGCCGCTGGGGCCCGCGTTCCCGACCCCCCCTTAGGGTCAACCCGCCCGATGGACACGTCTGGTTCTGCCACGTGCGTTCTGCCCCTAGCCCCACTGATCCCGTGTTTCATCATTCTCCCTCCTTCTTCCATCCGTAATTGTTTCTATTGTTTCAGATGTTGCGCCAATGACACGCGGCAGGTAAGGAGGATATACCTCCAGGGGGGTAGGACAATTTTTGAGGTGCCGAAATGAATTTTCCGACTCCTCATCGGGGAGTCGGAGAGTCGGCCAGTCGGCGAGTCGGCCAGTCGGCCAGTCGGGGAGTCTGCCAGTCGGCCAGTCGGGGAGTCCGCCAGTCGGCCAGTCCGGGATTCGGCCAGTCGGGGAGTCGGCCAGTCGGGGAGTCGGCCAGCGGGGAAGTCGGGGAATCGGCCAGTCGGCCAGTCGGGGAGTGTGCCAGTCGGCCAGTCGGGGAGTCGGCCACTCGACCAGTCGGCCAGTCGGGGAGTCGGACAGTCGTCCAGTCGGGGAGTCAGCCAGTCGGGGAGTCGGCCAGTCGGCCAGTCGGGGAGTCGGCCAGTCGGGGAGTCGGCCAGTCGGGGAGCCGGCCAGTCGGCCAGTCGGGGAGTCTTGGAGTCGGGGAGTCTGTCAGTTGGGAAGATGGCCAGTCGGGGAGTCGGCCAGCTGGAAGGTCGGCCAGCCGGGGAGTCGGGCAGTCGAGGAGTCGGCCAGTCGGGGAGTCGGCCAGTCGGGGAGTCGGCCAGTGGGCCAGTCGCGGAGTCGGGGAGTGGGGGAGCCGGGGGGTCGGGGAGTCGGGCCCGTCGGGGAGTCGGGAAGTCGGGGAGTCGGGGAGCCTTGGAAGCCTTCAGAGAGAGAGAGAGAGAGAGAGAGCTCCCGACAAAAACTGTCAAGGAAGCCGTGGGAGGGTAGGGTAGAGCCTCTCAGGGGCCCCCTATCCGCCACGATCTCCAGTCTCAGTCGGGAGATCGTGGCGTCTTGGGGCCTTCCTGGGGGCCTTGGGAGCTCCTGGAAAGCATTTGGGTTTCCCTGGCAACTCGCAAATAAAAACAAGATAGATCTCGAGAAAGCTCCATGGAAGCTTCGGGAGGCACCGGCAGGGCCTCCCAGGGAGTACCAATGTGTCACGATCT